CGACAGGCGGACAGATTGCCGAAATGTGGTGACGCCATGCATCTCAGGCATATCTGGCGAGACTTGCAAACTTTGCAAGATGGGTCCCCACCACCGTTGGCCAGGTGTTAGATCATATCCATCTTGAACGGCTGAGACTCGCATGGCTAAAATGGACAGAAACCCACTTGTTTTTGCGTGCGAATTCGGCAGACTTTCTGCGGAAGTTTGCTTTTACCAGGGTTTCGGAGTCGTGGTAGCGCTGTTCCGACTCCGACTCCGACTCCGACTCCGGACTCCTGACCGACTCGGACTCCGACTCCGACTCCGACTCCGGGTCTGATACGAATGGCAATGGCGGCCGCCAAAATTTTGCGTGATATGACACCACGTGCTACGGGGAGAACGCTCCTACTCTCCGGTTTCCTTCATGCAGTCACCATTTCTCCCACGTGGACGCAGCTGAATCCACAAGAGGTCAGCGGTCAGCGCGGAAACCCGCCGAGAAGCGCGAGAGGCGGCCGTATCACGAACACGAGCATCGCCATCATGTCGGTCATTCCTATGTGTTGATACTTTTCGGAACATAAACGAAGAAAATCAAAATACAGTTGTCATTTAGTCTTTGACTCGTCAAATACTTCAGATAGTGGAAGTTATAACAGGCATGCAAAATACGACTTCTAAATTATGATATAGCTTGAAACTTGTTAGATCCAATTTTTGTCATTTAGAACAAAAACAAGATGAGTGCAATTTTCATCGCAGGAAGCGAATTCTACCGCGGGCAACTGGTAAAAAAACAACTGAAAAGTGATATCACAGATTCTAGTTATTTTCCGGAGTCTGAGTCGAGGCAGCTTGACCGACTCCGACTCCGACTCCGACTCCTGGCTGCTTGCCACGACTCCGGGCGACTCCGACTCCGACTCCGACTCCGAAACCCTGGCTTTTACGACACATCAGGTCATTCCATGACACTGGCTGATCACCGGTCATTAACGATTTTCGTAAATGTTCACGCCTTCAATGACCATGAAGAAACTTCAACTCACTCCCCTTCACGGGTCCACCTAGGACCGGGCTGAACCAGATCGAGCCAGCTCCGCCGCTCTCCCGGTCATCGTCACACTGCGCGTCATCGGGCGCCATGAACGTCACGCCGGGGCGTCATCGGGTGACCAGCTGTCAGCACCGTCACGTGTGACTGACTCCGCCCCTCTCGGCACCCTTCTCTCTCTTCTCTGCCTCCTCTGTCCCGGGTTCAACACACACTTAGGCCCACCAGTCAAGCAGCGTCATGTTGCAGACATCAACACTCGACCGGCCGCCTTTCTCCGTGCTGCAGCTCGTCTGTAGAAGACTGCTGTGGAACGTCGACAGTTGTCACCATCTGGCTTCGTACTGTGTGACACAGAGAGATTCGGCAGACCATTTTGTTACTGTATGATATGCCCGGGTACGGGACACTGACTGGCATTTATTTGAGGAGGATAACATGCGGTATGACTCGCTTGGGCACATTGACATTATTGGACTGCCTCGGATACGGTGGCACCTTATTTGACACGCCACAGCGCGGCATTATTCTTTATGACACTGACATTCTAAAGCACGATGTTGACCTGTATGGCACATTCAGACGCGAACAAAGCCAGTATGGCACGGTGTATGACATACTCACTGCAGTAGCGGCGGAACACCCTCAATTAAGGGGGTGTCGACTTTTGGTCCCATTCTTTCCATGCAACGCCCATAGGGCTAATGTTAAAATGCCAAAATCAAAGGGGGCACGGTGCCCCGGTGCCCTCCCCGTTCCGCCGCCTATGATACTTAGTGACTCAGACATGGACACACCTTATATGAAACGCTGTATGCCACATTCAGACACGGACAAACCCAGTATGTTACGCTGTATGACACACTCTGACACAGACACACTCAATATGACACGCTGGTGCATGGTGACACACCGTCTGACACGGTGCGGCGAGGTGGGAAGCGGCGCGCTCTGTCCGATGCAATGACCCGAGTTTTCAGACGCGAGAGGAAAAAAATCACGAAATGGCGCAGTAGCACGACACGGTGTCATACGTGCGAAGTGTGCAACATCACTTGGTATCTTAGCACTAGAGAAGAGACATTATTGAGGTAAATGCTCTTGCTCATATCTCACAATCCCAGAGAGATCAGAAAAAAGTTTGATTTTACGTTCTATAGACTCCATATTGTAAGAGTCGCTGGCATATGAGGACTCTTAGGCTTTGTACGAAGGCTTGGTATGAAGTCTTTATACTAAAGTCTCTAGTCGGTCGATATCCAACTCGAGTGTTCCGCAGCTCGCCTTTGGTCTAATCTCGGCGCGGTTACAGCGGGTGTCTCCCGTTCCCGGCACCAGCCGGTGACCGGTGACGACACGCGCACTGTTCCGCCGCTCAGGGCGGTCACGGCGCCTGATCCGCCCCCGGGGCGTCATCCTGTGCCGTTGCGTCATCAGCACCGTCGTCATCACCGTCATCGCCGTTGCCGCCGTCACCGGCGAGACGCCAGATTAACCCAAGACGCCAGTTTCGCCCGGATAGCTCTTTACCACGGACGTTTATGGAATCTAGCCACCCAGGTGGGAGCATTGTGTCGTCTGTGCGGGCTGGAAGAATGCTGGTGAAGACGGAAAGCATGAGAGACTCGGCGCCCCCCGCGGTGTAGCGCCGAGTGCGTCTGTTGAGTGTGCGCTGACGGCGGAGCACGACAAAAGCCGCGTGTGTACCACTGCTCCGAAAACGTGGCCACCGACAGAGTTTCTGTCAGTTTCTACAATGAGTCCGTTTCGTCGTGCAGTGGAGAAAAAAAACTAGCAGGGTAGCGAATATTCTAATGAATTGTTGATAGTGGCAAACAAATACGAGTATATTTATTGACAAGGCTGCGCTATGTAAGATGCTATTCTTTTGTGCGCTTCTGCAGTTTCCCGATGGTCCGTGCTACTTTTTCGTTTGCTATGCAGTTTCCCGTGGTTTCGTGTTATTTTCTTCTGCGACATTGCAGTTTCCAACGACAGGTCATACCTATGCTGGGTATGAGTGGTGCAATTAGCACAAATACTAGACTGCTGGTCTCTCGCAGTCAGGCTATGCCGCCAAAGGTATCGTCTATCCGGCTCGTTATACCAACCCAGGCATTCAAAGTGCGAACACTGATAGGGAGACTGCCACTAACGCTCAGGGGATAGCACGGCAGTCACAGTCGCGCACTACGGGCTAGATATTTTCACTTTTCCTCGATAATAGTGTGCCCAAGTGATCATATAATAATTCGTGATGAAATTATCATACTTTGGTTTATGAGAAGGTTGTAAATATTTTGTTATTAAAGATTGTTGTCACTGTTTGTGAAACGATGTCTCGTTTGGTTGTTGGCTGTTGCAGCAGTGATGGTACCGGCTTGTTATATGCTGTTGACGATCGTTTATTGCAGCATTCAATGTCGTGAATGATTAACCATAAGATACAATGATAGTCGCTACGCAGCATGTACAAATGTCAAGCTGACACCGAACTGTCAATTTATCGCGGGAAAGCATGTCTCGCAATCTTATTTAACCCGCGCCCGGCTGGGGGTCCTGGATTTCCACGCCCTGCTGGGGGGGGGGGGGGTGTTTGAACACCCCCCCTTGTAACTCGGCTCCTGGGCCACGTAGCGATACGCGGAAGGCGGCGTTCGAAAGAGCGTCAAAAATAATGACGAAATCACTTCGGTCAATTTTTTGGTCAGGTCAAAGGTCAGGTCACCAGAGGTCATTGAAGGCAAAACTTCGCCGATTTCCAGGTCGAATGTCGAAAATTTCCAAGAAGCCAACGCATAACTCGGGAACCAATAGAGCTACAGCGCCGCGGAAAAGCGCATTCGATAGCCCTATTAACGCCCTTTCTGAGTAATTCTCTCAGATTTGACCTAACGTCAACGGTTTTGCCTGCAGGGGGCAAAAACTGCAAAAATAGCCGATTTTTTCGGAAACAGTTTTTCTGCAATAACTTTTGACCCAAGCCCTGTACGAGCTTACTTTTACCGGCATCGTGTTCCTCTCGTCAAGACGCATCGAATGAACTATAAGTTGACCTTGAAAGGTCAACTTGAAAATTTGACCTCAGGTCAAGGTCATGACCTGACCGGAAAGGGTCATGTTGCATATCAGTCGATCCGTATCGTCGAGCTGAACACATCTAAGGCGTTTTCATCGCTCTAGCATGCCTCTATCAAAAGTTATTTGCGAAAAACTGTTAGATACCATTCGTGACCTAAGATGACCTCAGGGCATAAACAAGGGTCACGGACACCATTTTCATGTTCAGTGTGTCTAAACCACTTGTAATTCGGTGTTTGGGAGTGTTTATAATGTCTTTCATCCAAAAGAGGCGCATTTCAATTTTCTCCCATTGACTTATAATGGGGAGGTCGCAAAATTGACCTGACCTTAGGTCATCGATATCAAAATTCTGAGATATACATTTTGTACATGCTATTGCTCTTAGCAATCGTTGAAAGTTTCAAAGCGATCGGTCACTCGGTGTAGCTATGACAAACATTGGAACTTTTTATGAGGTGAGGTCACTTCAAGTGACCTGGTGACCTGACCTTGAATGACCTTGGTCTGAAATTTTCACAACATGTGTAGAATTGATGTATGATAAGGTGTACCAAAAACAGCGGCGCTCCGCGCCGCCGTTTTTGAGATATTCGCGAAAAACCACAAGGGGGGGTGTTCAAACACCCCCCCCCCCCCCAGCAGGGCGCGGGTTAAAGCTCTCATTTCCCTGTTTATCTGTTATCAGTATCCAAACGGAATCCTTCGGAATACTTGTATTTTCGTCTGACCTTGTGTGTACTTTTTTCTCACCCCGTATGTACCCGTCTGACCATGTCTGTACCCCGTCTGACCGCGTCTGCACCCTGTATTACCGTGTCTGTACCCCGTCTGATTGGGTCTGTAACCCGATCTGACCGTGTCTGCACCCTGCCCGCAGGTGGTGGCCGGTGGCCGCGGCGCCTCCGGCCGCGGTGAGCCGCCCTCCCACAGCCTGGCCCGGGTCGGCTCACGCGCCGCCATGGGGTTCGCCATCGCGTTCCTGCGCCGCGCCTGGCGATCTGGGGAGGATACCGACATCTGCTCCGACCTGCTCAAGGTGCGGGACTCTGGGCGACTTACAATATAATAAGCGCTATTTTCTACCTACATGTATATGTGACCGTGGAGCACGGGTGGCCCTAATTATTCGCATGAGACCAATATGACGCCAAGGACTCTGACTTCTGCTTACTGGGAGGAAAAATTTAGGGTATCTCTGGCATTACTTGATGACGACACAAGTAACTACAATTTCGAGAAACGACAAATCCATTTAAACTCCGCTTTAGTAACCCAAAATTAGAGCTCTAATCTCGTGACTCCTGTGTGTCTCGGCCGTGCTTTGAAACGCGTCCAGAGCATCCAGATGACATTCATAACTGTCTGCGAACCCAACCATTGTCGGTGCCGGCGCGGGCATGTACTAAATCCGACGCAGGGACAGGTGGCCAACTGGACTCATTGTAGCCATTTCCGCGAGAAACCATTCTGACAATCGCGATAGACACAATGACGCGATGTTTCGGAATGCTTTCACGAGCACAGTGATCACTGGAGCGTGCAAATACTGAAAGTGCAACACGACGATGCAATGTGTGTGGATGCGTGTAGATTCTTCATGAACCTTGCATATCATCCCATTTACCGGCAATCAGCCATGTTGACTGACCCCACATTCATATCAACTCCCAGATATTCCCTCGGCGTCCCACCCCACCGTTTGCCGATTTCCGCTTGCTGACCGCGCTGTGTTTCCCGTCTCGTCCGCCAGGAGTCTCTGGAAACGCTGCGTTACCTGCCCGAGGGAAATCTGTTCGATGAGGACCAGGTGTCGCCCGTCTGGCTGGAGGTGGTCGAAAAGGCCAGCCGCTTCCTGCGCTCCGTCGTACTCGGGTTAGTTCCTACTTCCTACCACTACGGCAGGGGAACTTCGGCTGATTGTGTGCACTGCAGCGTCGCCACTAAAGGAATTTTGTAAAATGCGTGGAGCTCAACCGTGGGCTTCGGGATCAAGATATGTTGCTGGCTGCTGCTTTGTCGCTTCCAGCGACGGTTTCAGTAGTTGTTAATAAGGCTGCCTTACGATTGATAGATCTTTGTAAGTTTTATCTAAAATGATTGCCCTGGGTAGCTCGGTCGCGTGTCTGCTCCATCAATGTCCCGGTTTTCTTCTGTATGTGACCCTGGTACCCGGGTGTCCCCTCTAGGACAGTGATGTGTGTTCACTGACCCGCGTGTCCCCCTATCACAGTGAGGTGGGTGGCGTGCCCACCTCGGACCGTCACCTGGCTCTCTCGCTGACTGAAATGTCCCAGCTGTGTGTGGACCGGGATGTGGGATGTCCCTCTGTATGTGACCTGGGGTGTCCACTCTATGTCACAGTGAGGTGGGCGGCGTGCCGACCTCGGACCGTCACCTGGCTCTGTCGCTGCTCCTGGAGCTGGCCGTGCAGCGGGCGGGGCTGAGCCACCTGCTCAGCGTGCTGCTGCTCGTGCTGCAGATCTGGCACGCCGCCGGACACACGGCAGCCGATAACAGGTAACAGTCGGCGGGGAGAGATGCTGGACTTGGCAGGGTTGGTGGGAGGATATTGATCGAAAGAGAAATGAGAAGTGAGAACTCATGTCATATTAGTTCGATGATTCAGTTGATTTCATCGCTTTTATCCTCCCAGTTTTTTATAATTATTTATAGTGGGTATGTAGAAAAGACTTTTCTAGGCTGCGGGCTGTTGATGGCTTTATGACTACACTGTACTGCTTTGGAGATTCCCTTGCAGACTGGGATGATCAAAGGCGTCAAAACTCTTCATCGCTCACCGTCAACATATTTCAACCAAACCCTTTTCTGACAGCCGTCTCCCTTTGTCTTTCCTCAGAACGCGGCGTCACGGCAGCTCCGCGCCGCTGCTGCCGCTGCTGCACCGACTGAGGGCGGTCGCCGCCGGATCGGGCGGGACAGCCACCTCACCGGGTGGACACATGGAGCTCACCGCGGGACCGGTGAGCTCGGCAATCGGGATGGGGCATGAGAAAAGGGTGGATGATGTGAGAGAGACAAGGGTGTATAATCGGGGAAGGACAGAGGGAAGCAGGGGTGGGGGTTTCATTGCGTCAGGTTTATGATGTGTTTGTGTCGGATGCCTATGCGAAATGCATTCTGATGCCTCTGATCGTGCGTGTGAAACAGAAGATACTCAAATAATGTGTCATGTAGAGCATGGTTTCCAGATTTATACCCCAGTGTAGCCCCTGCCCTTCCTACCTACCCCACCGACTGACTGACTGTTTGTGCTGCTCTCCCCTCCCTGTCTTATCTACTTGTACTCTGTTCACCCCTTTAGCCCCAATCTAACCGCCCTTCCCTCCCTCTACCACCAGATGTCCCCAACGGAGGTATTTCTGCGTCTGCTCGACCTGCCCGAGGACCCGGAGATATACGTGGACCTCCGTCAGGTGGCCGTAGTCACCCTCTGCCTCCTCGACCGGCTCGCCACGCCGCTCCAGCCCGACAGCGCCGCCGAAAAGGTACGTGGATTGGCTCGGTGTGGTAACGGTCGTGTAAGTGGTCGTCTTGGCGTGCAGCAGCTCTGTCTGGTACTTTGGTTGTTGTGTGGATAGGTACGTGTGGTGGTGGGACAGGGGTGGAAGTGCTGAGTCTCTCACACGGCTGGTGCGTCTGATTTCCCTATTCACTCAACCCCTCCCCCCTCGCAGGAATCTGCTTTATGCGGGCAGCGGCTGAATACTTGAATTCTCTGTCCTCTCCCACAGGACTCTGGCCGCCAGGAGCTGCTGTGTATTGGCTGTGGCGACGGGGGCACACCCGTCTCACCATCCGGCAGTCCCGGCTCGGCTACCAGCGGCGCCGTGACGGTGGAAGGACTGGGGGAACAGCGGCTCCGTCAGATGGCCTGCGGGGAACAGGCGGCGCTGGTTCTCACCCAGTCCGGGGCCGTCTATATGGTCCAGTACTCCAACAGAGACAAACAGGTCAGTTGATTAGAGAGGTGGGGTATAACTGTGAGGGAGGTGGGGTTTGGAGGTGGGGTTTTGTACATACTAAGCTGCACGATGGAATTAGCCTGCCTGGCCCCACTTAGATTTAAACGGTCGTATGTTGAAGATATAAATTGGTCATGTATCTCAAATTACCATATTTAATAGTGATAGAGATAATTGAGGCTTATGCGTTTTGTGTCGCACATTGCGCATATTATTGACATATTATGTGATTATATGGACATTATGGCTTATGAGATCAAATCGAATGCAGACACAAGCACTTAGGTAGGCTTGCAAGTTTTGGTTTATCTGACCCTGATTGACTTGTCTCCGTTTCCCTGCAGACCCTGACGCCAGTAACCGGGCTCTCTGAGAAGGAAGTGGTATATGTGTCGGCCCACCCGGAGGGACAGCACTATATGGTGGTCACCGCAGATGGACAGGTGAGCCGAAATGCTTGCGAACCATTGATTGTTATAGAGCGTCCGTTTCGGAGAATGACTGTCGTATTTTTCTGTTATGAACGTTATCCAGTTTCGGTCGGTAACTGATGTATCGGCCCTGCTGGGTGTTGCAGCTGTTCTCGTGGGGTAGCGGCGACGGCGGCCGGCTGGGCCACGGAGACTGTCAGAGTCACGACTCACCCGTCCTGGTGGCGGCACTGGCCGGAAAACACGTGACCACCGCCAGCTGCGGATCCACCTACAGGTCAGACGGTCACGTGATTTTTAACGTAACTGATCTTTGAATCAAATGTCCAATATTTGGACAGTAATTTTGTGTCATTCTTATTCCACCTCCAAGAACTTACAGAAGTAGTACTATTTTAAGTTATTTAAGTTATTAACACATGACGTAAACATATCCTGCAGTCTGTCATTTGTTTGTTAGGAAACTCTTTCCGTTGCATTGCATAGCTTGGTATGCCGTGAACTGGCATTCTATTGCTTCCCGCCACGCCAAAGCTAGCTGACCTATCCCTGACTTGCCCGTTTATGACTGACAGTGCGGCGCTGACCAGCTGCGGCGAACTGTACACCTGGGGCCGCGGTAACTACGGACGACTGGGACACGGAAACTTCGAGGACTGCCACCTGCCCACACTGGTGCAGGCGCTCAAAGGTGGGTGGCGACGCAGTATGATCAGCTGTGATCAATGGGGGGGGGGGTAGAACTGAGGTCCCAGCTGCAAGCTATATTCTTACCTGACTTTACCTGCGGTCATATGTCCCTTGCAAGTCAGTGTTGCTGGGCGTGTGCTGTAATTTGATCTAACTTTACCTGACCTTTGTCCCTCGCAGGTCAGCAGGTTGTTGTTGTTGTTGTTGCTCCCTCCGGCCCCCCCTAGGGGGGCGTAGCCAGACGGCTCAGTTGGGCTCGAAAGCCGGCGGCCAAGGCCGCCACCACGCCGTCGTCCTGTAGCTCGGTCACCGTAGGGTGGATTGTGCCCACTCGTGCCAGGCGGCGTCCCGCCAGCGCCGGGCAGCGCAGCAGGACGTGTCGCGGAGTGTCGGCCTCCTCTCGGCACACACGGCACAGCGCGGCCGGGCACCTCACGGAGCCGCACTGCTCGCATCCAGGCGACGGTCGGCGGCCGATGCGGTGAAGGTACTGCTCCGAGCAGGACCAGTGGCCGGCTCGGAGCTGGTGGACGTCGATCGCAGAGCAGCGGTCTTCGCCCTCCACCGGGCCCGGCAGGCGGGAGCCCCAGATCTCCTTGTGCCACCCGTCCGGCCAGGCCTCCCTCCACCTTGCAGAAGCTGAGCGGGCGGCCGCTCTGGTCACTGTGGTGACATCTATAGGTGTGTCCTCTTGTGGCAGGGCACTGGCCTCCTTGGCGAGGCCGTCCGCTCTTTCGTTCAGCGGCAGCCCACAGTGCGCCGGCACCCACTGCAGCTGGATGGGCTGGCCGGTCGCACTGATGCCTTGTAGCGCCTTCCAGATGTCGGCTGCTACCGGCGTCCGCTGGGCCGCTGGGCCGTTCTTGAGGAGAGCCAGTGCCGCTTTTGAGTCAAGGCAAATGATGATCGGGCGCGCCGTATCCCGGTCTGGTGTCGAGGTCAGATCTTCCAGCGCGGCCCTCAGCGCGAACAGCTCTGCTCGCGTACTTGAGCAGAGGCGGCCAGCAGCGACTCGGACCTCTCTTGTGGCACCGTCGTGGGTCACGATCAGCGCTCCTCCTCCACCGCGGTGCACTCCTTCCTCGGCAGAGCCATCCGACCAGATCCAGGTGGCGTCCGCCGGGAACGACTCCAACCGCTCCTCCGCCGCCCTTCTTCTCAGCTCCGGCGGGCGGTCCCTGGAGCCGTCGGGGCCCACATCCAGGTGGAAGGACACCTCTCCACCATCCTGCCATGGCGGGGCGGAGACATGGAGCCGCTCCTCGATGATGAGGGGCTCGCCCCCCGGCGACAGGCGGGCGAACATCTCACGGCCTCTGTCTCGCCAGCCGAGGGTCGCCGCGAGACGTCTTGGTGGCGACGAGTCAGCCAGGGTTCTGAGCGGGTCTCCTGCAGGCAGCGAGGCCGCCAGAGCTAGCTGGCGCGCCGCTCTGATGTCGCGGCACATGTGTGCAGTGGGAAGGCCCGCCTCCGCCATCAGAGCGTGTGACGGGGTCGACGCTAGGCAGCCCGTCACCACCCTGGCGGCAGCTCTCAGCTCCCTGTCGATCAGAGTGAGGTGGCTCTCCGATGCAGCAGGCAGCCACGCACCCGCCGCATACTCTAGTGCACCCCGTACGTAGCCGTTAGCGACAGTTCTCAGCTGCCGCTCGGTCAGGCCCCAGCTCCTACCGGTCATGCGACGGAGGTGGGCCGTACGGGGGCGCACCTTCTTACGTAGTTCGTTGCAGTGGGCTCCAAAGTGTAGCAGCCGGTCGAGAGAGACGCCCAGGAGACGCAGTGTGGTACCACCGGTGACCTCCGCTCCGGCGACCCGGATGGAGAGCCTCGATGCGTCGCGGGCCCACTGGGACAGAACAAGCGCCTGGGTCTTCTCCCCAGCGACGCGCATCTTCCATCGATCAGCCCACGCGGAGATGGTGTCCGCTGCTTGCTGGGCCCGTCTCCCCGCCTGCTCTATTGTGGCTCCGCTGCTGAGGGTCGCTGTATCGTCAGCGTACATGAAGATTTCGGTACCGGGAACAGACCTCAGGGCGGTGATCAGGTCCGCGGCCCACAGCGTGTATAGTGTGGGGGCCAGCACACTGCCCTGGGGGAGGCCGGCTCGGTAGGGACGCTCTCTGCTTCTTGTGCCGTTGACCACCACAGCCGCTCTACGGTCTCGGAGAAACGCCCAGACCCAGTTCGTCAGGCACTTGGGTACTCCGAGCCGGAGCAGTTTCAGTCGGAGCATCCTGTGGTCTATGACGTCATAGGCTCTGGAGAAATCAAACGCAAGTAGGGCGAACTTTTCGGCGGTCTTCCCGTCGACCGGTTTTCCCCTTGGTTTCGGCCTGTTCCATCCATCTTGCACGCGCTGAACAAGTCTAGCCAGGTTTTCCTCGGCCGATCTGCCCCGGCGGAAGCCGACCTGCTCGCATGGGATTAGGTCGTCGCGCTCGACTACGTGTGTGAGTCGCGCAGCGACCAGTCGCTCGGCGAGTTTGGCGAGGTGGCTGGTGAGGGCGATCGGTCGGTGGCTGGAGGTCAATTTTGGGTCCTTCCCTGCCTTGGGGATCGGGACGATGGTCGCCCTCCGCCACGCCGACGGCGTGAGACCCGAGGCCCAGGTCTGATTCATCAGGCGGAGGAGCGCGGCCTTGGCAACCGGGCCCAGGTGGCGCAGATGTTCCGCGCAGATGTCATCCGGGCCCGGGGCCTTCCGGCACTTCATGTTTGGGAGTTGCGCTTCCAGCTCCTGGAGTGAAAACGGGGAACAAACCCCAGAGCGGGCGCCTCCACATTGGCACTCCCTTCCGTTGAGTGTCCTCAGTTCCGCCTTGGTCTTGGTGTCCTGGCGTTTGGCTCGTACTTGACGGCTCACGTTGGCATAGGTCCTGTTGAACGCCTCGGCCTTGTCTCGGTCCTCCACGGCGCAGCGGCCGTGATCCCCGAGAGCCTGACCAGGCGGGATCTCAACAGCCTCTTCCATTTTTCGTAGGATCTTGTGAACCCTTCCAATGCTGGTTGGGCGGTTGAGCTCTTCCGAGGCGAACTTCTGAAACGCTCTGGACTTGGCCTCTTGTGCTGTGTTTGCCGCCTTGCGTTTGGCTGACACCCACTGGTCTCTGAGAGCTGCGGAGCCAGGGTCTGCGTCCAGGGCGGCTCTGGCAGCACGGCGCTCTCGCACCGCGTCCACCAGTTCCGGATCCATGGCCCATGGTTTGGGATCGGATCTTGCTCCACGGGGGATGTGGTTGAGGCTGCACTTCAGGATGACCGCTGTGAAGCGTTCGTTGAGCTGTTCCACCGTCAGATCATCCGGGAGTGTTGCGAGAGCTGACTCGCAGTCTGCCTCAAAGCCGGTCCAATCGGCCTTATGGAAGGCCCATCTTGTCCTTCTGATCCTCCTTGGTCTGTGGCCGCTCATGAGCACGGTAGTGATCATTGGCAGATGGTCACTGCCCAGGTCGGGGCCGACAGACCAGGCGCAGCGTCCAGCCGTGTCCCTATGGCACAGGACTGCGTCCGGGGTGCTAGGATTGCCCCGGTAGCTGGTGCGGGTGTGCGCTCCGTCGTTGAGGGTAGTGAAGTTCTGGAGGGCCATCCAGTCCGAGAGGCGGCGTCCCGTGTCATCTTCTTCTCCGCAGTGTTGGTCCCAGTCTGGGTGGTGGGCGTTCCAATCTCCCATGAGCAGGGTGTCTCGATTGGTGGGTAGGGCCGCCGGGTCGAAGTGGTCGGTCCTCTGGTCCTCCTCGCCTGGTCGGATCGGCGGCCGGTAGAAATTGTGAATGTCCAGGTGGTTCGGCGCAGGGTCGCGAGCCGCTGGGTTGCTCGTGAATAGGCGTATGGCACACCACTCCGTTGTGTTGTCGGCCGGTGCGAGGGGGGCGGACTCCAACTTCGAGAAGTTGAGCCCCTTTCGGACGTATATAGCCACGTCACCTCCCTTGGCAGTACCGGTGTCCGTACGCCCTCGTGCCCTTCGGAAGTGCGCCGCAGTCTGGAAGCCCGGGACCGATGTGATCCCGTCGGCACGGAACTGGGCCTCTTGGATCGCCAACACGTCGATTTTCTCGGTAGAGAGCCAGCCTTGGAGTTCCTGGGTCTTGCGACGGAGCCCTTCGGCGTTCCAGCACGCAATGTGCAGGCGGCTTCTGGTCTGGACGTTTCGACGGTAGCGATGGTTCTTGGCCCGGCGACTCCGGCCTCGGTGGGCTCCCCCTGCGGTGCCCTCCGCACCCCCGCCGCTGGCACTGGCGGCGGGGGGCGCCTGTTCACTCATTTAGCGCAGGCCGGAGCCGCTGCGGGGGGCCTCCAGTTGGCCCTCCCCTGCGCGGCCCCGACCCGCTGAACGTGTTGAATGCCGTGATGAAAGACTCGGTGATGAAAGACGTGCTGGGTAGACGACGACGTGGTGGCGCGTCGGCCACCGGCGTCCAGCCCCGAGAGGGCGGACTGGGACCCGTTCCGTAGCCCCCCGCCGCTCTCCACGACGGGGGCGGGGGCAGGCCCCCACGGAGTCCACCTCGTGAAGGCGGGTCCCTCCAGACTCCAGGTCAGCAGGTGGTGAACATCACCGGACGGTCACCGGAGCTGCGGCCTCGGTGACCTGACCTGACCTATATCCTTAGGTTAGCGTGCGGTGGACGTATGCTCCGGCTCTGGTGGCCTGACCTGACCTGACCCCTGTCCCTCTCAGGTTAGCGGTCGTGGACGTATCCTGCGGCTCTGGTGACCTGACCTAACCTAACCTCTGTCCCCTCAGGTCAGCGAGTGGTGGACGTCTGCTGTGGCTCCGTTGACCTGACCTGATCTCTGCCCCCCCCCCCCCCCCAGGTCAGCGAGTGGTGGACGTGTGCTGCGGCTCCGGCGACGCTCAAACAGTAGCCGTCACTGACGCCGGACTGGTCTATACCTGGGGTGACGGCGACTACGGAAAACTCGGTGAGGAAGCGCATGCTCAGCGATGCAAAGCGCCTCGGCTGTAGCACCTTTTAGGTTTTGTTCGGTGGCTGCCACTACTGTAAGCTTGATACCGTGATTTTGACAGTGATTAAACCTGTAACAACGCCCGCGGTGACTGCGTCCACCTGATGATGATGCAGCGAGTTTCTTCGTATTTTTTTAGCCATAGCTGCCACTGCCATTGTTTATTAGACTCTGTCTCTGACTCTAACCGTAGCTGTTGCTCACCGTAAACACTGGGACTCTTTTTGGTCATGTACAACTACCTGTCCCAGTGACGGCGCTCTCCCCCGTGTCGCCAGGCCGCGGCGGCAGCGAGGGCTCGCGCGTGCCGCAGCTGGTGGAGCGGCTGCAGGAGGTGCGCGTAGTGCGGGCCGTCAGTGGCGCCCAGTTCACCGCCGCGCTCACTGACACCGGGGCCGTCTACACCTGGGGCAAGGGGGACACGTTCCGACTGGGCCACGGCACCGAGGAGCACGCCCGCTACCCGCTCAAAGTCGAGGCGCTGGCAGGTGGGTGAAGTGGTGGGATGAGAGAAAGGGATTTAGGTGAAGTGGACGATTGGTTGAAAAGTGGAGGAGGCGATTTGCTGAGAATGAAAAAGCATCAGCTATTTAATGCTTGTATAATATGCGCATAAATTCTATTGTCTGTTTCGTAAGCGCGTAGTGGTTCGCGTTTTTTTTTTTTTTTTGTCTCAATAATGATGTTCTTAAGTTTTGACTCCTTAGGCCTTTCCCACCTCTCTCCTTTCCGTCTTCTCACTCCGCGGTCTTCCCTCACAGGCCGTAAGGTGCGCCAGCTCTCGGTGGGCGTCACCACGTGTCTGGCGCTGACAGAGGAGGGCGAGGCGCTGGCCTGGGGCCGCGGCGTGGCCGGCCGTCCGGCCGTGCTGCCCGCGCCGACACCGCTCCCCGAGCTGCAGGGCCGGGCCGTGCTCGGAGTCTGCTGCGGACCCGCTCAGGTGAGTGGCCGGGGAAAGTGGGGATGGAAAGGAAATGGAGGACATCAGCAGGTGTGGTGGCTTTCCTTTATGAGGAAGAGCTGGCAGCTGCTTTTGCCAGGTGTCATGTTTGTAGGATTGCTATTCTGTGATTTTGCAGAAATAAACAATGTTACGCAATTCAATTGGATATAAATATGGTGGGCCACAACACGCGGTCTTCTATTATTGCCCTAATATAGTGACTTATTTTAGTGGGCAATGCATACCACACCTAGCCGTCGCAGAACAGGATCCTTCTATCTGTTTCTCTCAAAACCCTCCCCCGTCCCACTCTCTAACCACCCCCTCCCTTCGCGCCCCGAGGTGTTCGCCTGGTCGCTGGGCTCGGAGAGTAAGGTGCCACGCCGCGTTCCATTCGTGGTGGACGTCTCCGAGAGCACGTTTGTCTACCTGGACCGTATGATGGAGCGGGCGTCTCCGTCGGCCGCCGCCGCCGCCCGGCCGCCCTCTCAGGAGGACGAGTGTACGATGGTGGCCGCGCTGAGACTGCTCACACTGCAGGTGAGGATAGGACAGTATCCTCGGGGGAGGGAGGACTGTCCTCAGAGGATGAGAGGACATATGAGAAGGACGGAGGACGTTGGGGAAGCTGGACATCACTGATATCACCGCGGATCATCACTGATAAGTCATCCATTCTCAGTCACTGAGAATGGATGACTTATCAGTGATGATCGGTGACACTGGGAATGGATGACTCATCAGTGATGATTGGTGAGTGTCTGGCTGTGTAGCTACCTTTATTTTTTTATAAATTTAGTCCGAACCTTTTGATGGGAAGGATTCACAAGGACAGAGCCACCGCTAAGCGAAGTTTGTTGCAGTGACCCTGCCCTCTACCCTCCGATCGCGCAATTCCGATTCTATGGCAGAATTTAGAGTCCAAAGTTTAACGTGCGCACAAAGCCGCGCACGGCCGGTCCCCTCGCTGACTTCGCCTGGCTACGGCCTGCCACCAACCGCAACCATACCTGTCAGGAGGCCCATAAATGTCGAGCGCCCGTCGCGCTTCGAACCCGGACTGTCGTAACCTCTCACCACGCGGAATCCAACGCTCTAACCAACTGAGCAGCGGGACCGGCATTATTGTTATATTATTGTTCGCGTTTGTTGATTTCGACGGTAGTAGGATGATGTAGCTTCTCATACCTCCAGGTTCCAATGTTTATGAAGATCATTTATCCCGCCCCCCCCCCCCCCCCTCAGCTGCACGTGGCCATCACCCACTCGGTGCCGCTGTCGGAGCTGGGTCTCTCGGCCGGCTCCCGGCTGCTGGCCTCGCTCCGGTGCCGGGTGGTGGACCTGGCCAGTGGCTCCGGGGTGCTGCCGGCCGTCCAGGCGGCCGCCCAGGGCACGCTGAAGGTCGGCTGGAGCGCCCTGCTGCCCACCGCAGAGGAACGCGCCAAGACGCTGTCCACGCTGCTGCCGCACGCAGGTACTCCGTGGATGGCTGCCTTACAGGGTCAGAGGGAGGGACATGAACTTCAGGGATAGGGAGAAGGAAGGGAGGCTGTTTGATGGCTGTGAATCATTGGTTTCGAATTATATTTGAGTTCGTAAATATTGACGTACTTTCTGCTAACTTTCTTCCTGGTCAGCGGATAGTTTTTTTTTTAGACGTTCGCTGTTTGTTTGATTTTTGTCTGGCCCTACTCCTGTCGCCGACATCTTAACATTTTCTAGCTGTCTGTCGTCGCCTTACCTCTATTTTACCTCCGCCCCTCTATTTTTCGACAGGCTGTGAGGTGGGCTCCCCCAGTCCGGGTCGGTTGTTCATGACAGACCTGCTGGTCTCCTCACTGATGGCGGATGGAGGGCTGGAGACGGCGCTCAGGGCCGCCGTCAAAGGTATGCGACCTCACCCGACCTGCACCTGGTCTCGTCACTGACGCACAGCCGCTGGCACGGCTCGCGTCCCTGATCTACCTTTGCCTGTAACTCGGTGTGTGCTTGCCGGAGAGGCATGCTTTCGAGTATGTCTGATTTTAAATTTGCTAATTTTCCGATGAAATTTGACTGATGCGCCAGCTTTTCAGCCTACTGCGATGATAAAACTCTCTAAGAACATCGGACATCTCTATCCAGTTGGTTTACGTTAGGTGCCCGAATCCTAACTCCTAAAGTTTACCAAGACACTGCGCTATTACACACGTTGCTTCGCTCCCTCCCCCAGTTGAAGTCCAGGACCTGGAGGAGGGTGGCGAGAAGGAGGTGCTGCTGTCGCAGATGATGACCGAGCAGGCGCAGCTGGAGGCCGAGACCAAGCGGTCGCAGGGAGCCGGCGGCGAGAAGCCGCCCATCCCGCTGCTGCACTTGGTCAAACAGCTGCTCAGGTGGGTTCGGCGCGTCAGGGCACGTCGGCCGGTAATGGGAGAATCAAAGGCCGTAATAGGTCAGCTACAACTCCATTGTTAATGAGGTTACCGGGAAGAAATTGTATTTGGTTGGCCTCAAATTATAATCACAATTGTGTATTAAGTGCGTCAGTCGCGTTGTTGATGCTTCGAACAGCGTGTTGTCCGTGACTGCTCCGCTACGATCCGTCTGATTGATACTTCTCTTCCCTGCAGGAACATCTCGTCTCAGACGCTGTACCGTCTGCAGACCCTGACGGCCTCCACGGCCTCCGCTGAGTCTCCCACCCTGTCCCAGTCTACCCCGGACCTGCCGCCGCCTCCGCCGCCGCCGACTACCGGCGTCCCGTCCGCCGGCTCCCAGACCAGTGGGCCGCGCCGCTCAGCCTCCCTGGACCTGCTGGTACGCTTCCAGCGGCTACTACTGGCCGAGCTACACCACCTGGGCGACCCGGCGCCGGGAGATGAGAAACGCGAGCGTCACGACCGCGGCGCCGGCTCGCTGTTGGCGAAGTATGTCCAGCTGCTATTGGTGTTTGTGAACGACACACTATCGGTGGCGTGCGGCGTGGCGGCCGGCGGCGCCAAGCTGTTCGCCCTGGCGGCGGCCGCTCTCAGAGAGGACGTGGTCGGGGTGCTGGTCCCAGAGCTGGTGCTCTGTCTGCTGATGCTACAGCAGCGCAGCCCGGCACTGCGTCGGCCGAACCTGTTCGCGCCGCTACTGCCGCTCCTAGACACACTGGATAGGTTCAACCGACTGGCACCGGGTGCTGAGAGAGAGGACGCAGAGGACCTCGCCTGGCCGGGCATCATCGGCGCCTCCCACTCGACACACTCGGTGCGCTCCAACGAAGAGGTACCCGTGATCCGACGGGCGGATGTCGAGAATCATAACCGCGACGGCGGCCTCTGGCTGGTCATCGCCGGGAAGGTGTACGATGTGCACGACTTTAAAGCGGAAGCGCCGTGCGGTGCCGAGCTGCTGCAACGTTCGGCCGGTAAGGACGCCACCAAGGCGTTCGAGGCGGCACAGCACTCACCTCAGGCGCTGGAGCTGCTGAAAGGTCTGCTGGTGGGGCCGCTGTTAGATCCGGACGGCGACCCGCCGGCGGCGGCGGCAGCGGTGCTGGGCGCGGACATCGGCTCCCTCTCCTCACCTCTGGTGGACACGGAGCGCTCCCTGTCGCTGCTGCTGGGACTCCAGGCGGCGGCGCTATACCGCGGCACGCCGCCTCAGCCGGCCGAGCTGCAGGCGGCGCCCGTACTCGAGACAGGCGTGTTTGACGGCGGACTGGAGCGGGGAGTGTGCCAGGGTTCTGAGGACGTAGACAAAGACCGAGAGACGAGCAACTCGCCCTTCAAGGCGCACATGAACTCTGAGACCATGGAAGACACGGTCAAACTCATCATAGCGTTCGCGGAGGACCCTGAGGAGGAGGGCGGTCGCCGTCTGGGCGCCGCCGTGTCGCGCCACTGCCAGCAGCGTCACCTGCAGATGCCGCTGCTGGTCGAGGCCGATCACCCTGTGGAGCAGGTGGGGCGGCTGCTGTTGGCCGCCGTCCTCCGGCAGACCGGCCTGCACCGGCGGCTGACGGCCTTCGTCAACGGCGGGGCAGACATGGAGTCGCTGCCGCCGCTACCAGAGCCGATACCGGAGCTACTGCGGGTGGTACACCGCACCAAACTGTCCCTGATCCGCACCAGACAGCAGCTCGACTCCAGCTACAAGGAGGTGTGCGCCGAGCCGATCGACAAGTGTCGGTTTCTGCTGTACAAGGTGCGGCCGCTGCCCGGTTTGGGCCGCACCTCCTCCGGACACCGACTCCTGCTGCGAGTGGAGAGCCGCTGGCGAGCCGCTTGTCGTCAGATCCTGCAGTCCCGGGCCGGGACGCTGCACGTCAAACCAGAGGACATTCTCAATGAGAGCATACAATCCCAGGACGCCCTGGCGGCGGCGGTCGGCTCGCTGAAAGAGGAACCTCTTGAAGAGGGCGAGGCAGAGAAGCAGCAATTGGAGACGACAGAGGAGCCGGCCACGGCGGCCGGTCTCGGTCCCACCGTGTCTCCACCCCCAGGCCCGGCTGTCGAGGACGACCGCTGCTCCTCTGAGGAAGAAGAGGAGGAACAATCTGAGAAACTGGCCGCCGAGGCGCTGCCCGAGAAACTAGCCGAGCTCGAGGAGAGACTGGAGAAGTATGAAGATGAGGACCGTTCAGAGAAACTGGACATCGGAGATGGATGTAAGAAGGTGACCGATTTTGACCGACCCAACAAACTGGAAGAAGATGCCCTCTCCGAGAAGCTAGTCGACGACGAGAGATCTGAGAAGACTGAGGACGGAGACGAAGACGAGAAGGTGATGGAAAAGTCGGCACCGCCGGCCGTGCTGAGTGAGCAGCAGCGGCGGAGAAGGAAGCGCTCTCCGGCGGCCGGCGGCGCGCCTGACAACCGGCGCAGCTGGCCGACCGACACGGCGCTGAGGCTGGCGCCGCTGCCGCCGCCGCCGGCCGCCGAGCAGGGTCCTGAGACAGCGGCGGAGACGGGCGACGGACGGCGGGATCAGCTGGAGAAGCTCGCTCTGAAACTGGAGGTGACTGTGGACGACGGCGAGACCACCACGCCGCCGGTGGATACCGCCAAGAAGCACGGTAAGTGGATAGTTATGTCGTTAAGTGTATTACATTTCGCCGTTTTATCCCGTATTTTTCCTTTAAATTAACCAGCCGTCATTCACCTGGTGCTGTCCTCATGTAATTGTTTTGCTTTTCCTATGCTTCTGTAAGCTGTACTCGTCGTCATAACCTTAACGAACTTGTGACGTAACCTGAATTATCCCTTCTCGCCTGGTTCCAGCGTACATTCCGCAGTGGAGCGACTCGTGTTCCCCGTCGGACTCTGCCGCCCTGGAGGTGGCCGCCCGTATCGCCAGTTTCGTCACCCAGTCGGCGGTGGATGCGGGCGCGGTACAGCGCGCGCTGCTCTGTCAGACAGAGCGGGCTGGACTGCGGCTGCGTGGACTGCAGACCGTCCAGGGACTGCTGGCTAAAACACACCTGCTGCCCTCCGCGCGGCTCCATCTGCTGATGGGCTGGATCGGACTGGGGCCCACGCTGAAACCTGACTACAGGTAAAGTGGACGGGGACTGCAGCCGGCGAATGGCTGGTGGGATTGGGTAAAGTTTCAGGAGATGCATTTGACAGTCACGCTCACGAGTCACGACATGATAGATGATAAATTCATACTCTTGGATTCATATTCATGCATTGACTGCCTGTAGCCGGCCTGTACCAGTCAGCAAGTATCGCACTATGAAATGGCCGCTCATCACAATTCTGTGACAAATTTGACATCTTACTGCACACTGCAGCCCTCCCTCTGACCGTCAGTTCTCTCCGCGCAGCCCCCCGCCGTGCTGTCTGGACGGCGTGCAGCTGGTGCGGCCGTACGAGCGCTCCCAGCTGCTGGTGCAGCACGGCCGGCTGACCGCGCTGGCCGCTCAGCAGCTGCGGCAGCTGGCGGCAGCTGCCGATCTGCAGTTCCGCGGCCGCGGCTGCAAGTCATCCCGACTGAAGGAGAATCTGAACCACATGGATCAGAATGGACTGTCGACGCTGCCGGCCGCCAGGTGGGGGACGGGAGGGAGGGAGGGATCAGGGAGACTGTGTGGGTCTTGGTGTGGGTATTGGGACGGAGCGGGAATAATGACAATACAGTGGGTACTGGGTAGTATTTAGCGATTGGTGAGGCCGTGCGCTTGTGAGGATAGTTATCCTGGCAGGATAAGCTGGAGCTGAAGTATAAGTGGAGATGCCTCCAGATCAGTGAGGGAAGAAGAAGCCAGAAAATCATGATGAGATCAGGGCCTTGGTTGGCGCGACACTTTCTCAGACATACAGAAACCTGGGAATTGCATAGGAGTAACATCAATTACACCCGGGGTGTCGTTGCCTTTCTCTGCCTCTCTTTGACCCCGGTGTTTCCGCCCACCTCCCTCCTCCCCCACCAGGTTCCTGCTGCCGCTGCTGGTGGTACTCAGCGGCGACCACGGGCCGGACGTCTCTGCCCTCCTGCTGCGCTCCGGGCTCCTATCCACCGTACAAACCCTGCTCCGGCTGCTCGGACCCGACCCGGCCGGCCCGCCCGACCAGCCCGTCTCGGTGCCGGCGGTACTGGAAGAGGCCGTGGAGCGGCAGCCCACACCGCAGTACCAGCTCTCCGGGCCCGAGATGGCGGCGCTCATGAAGATTGGAACCCGTGTGGTGCGCGGAGAGGACTGGAAGTGGGGAGATCAGGTGAGTCGGGCCGGACAGCTGAGTGACGCATTCCACCTCTTGGATATAATTTCGGCAGGCGAAGCCCATGACTGGCTGACGCTTGTTCAGTGTTAATTGATATGCATGCATTATGTATATTCACATGTGTAGGTACTCTATTCACGTTTGTTACTTTGAGATAAAATGGGCTGAAATGCCCAGGAAGCTTATTAAAATCAAAATTTTATTGTCTTATTTCTCCCGGCCTGCCCTATCTTTCCCTCCCTCCCCTCCCCTGCACTGTCTGACCGTGCTGCCCTGCGCCCAGGACGGCGCTCCGTCCGGCGCCCCGTCCGGCGAGGGCGTGGTGATCGGGGAGCTCGGGGAGGACGGCTGGATCCGCGTCCAGTGGGACAACGGCTCCACCAACTCGTACCGCATGGGCAAGGAGGGACGCTACGACCTCAAGCTGGCCGACGTGCCGCAGCCCGTGTCCTCGGACGATGAGGATGATGACGATGATCTCAGTGAGTCGGGAGTTATAGGATGGTGGTGGGTGTTGTCACTTTGGGATGGTGTGGTTTTGTCCTGCTTTAGAATGGTGTTTGTAAACATGGTAAGTCACCTATTGTTTGTAAACATGGTAACTCAGCCAGTGTGAGCGAATGGTGTTGCTGGGTGACCTGGTGTGTCCCGTGTCATATAAGGGAGACTGAAACAACAAATTGCCGGCGGCGTGTTTCATCGGATATGCTGGTATTCCCCCCAACTGAAATGTGTCCTGGTCCACACTTTTTTCGATGCGTTCCAGCTGCCACGGAGGCGCCCTCGGAGAGTCGCCAGCCGACGGCTCTGTTCCGTCAGGGCTGCCAGCGGCTGCTGCAGGCGCACACCCTGGCACTGGGACTACACGGGGAGACGGCCGACCAGGCGGCAGTGCATCGTCTCACCGCGCTGCTCAGGGACATCGTCACGGTGCGGAGAGGAGGGGAGGAGTGGAGAGTGTTGCTAGGGTGCGGGATCGGACAGGGGGTTTGGCAAGAGTGGATTTACTGTCTACGATGTCAGAGCGGAGGGGAGGCAATGCCACGAGGAGAAACGTCGAGAAGTATTATGGTGTGAAACTGCTTTGTGATGCAGCCTGTGGCCGTTTATGACATGGCCCGTGGCCCTTTGTGACAATAATTTATCGCCTAGGGGTGATTGTCAGTGATGTCACTGAGAGAAACTTTGTTCCCCGTTTACACAAGCACACTCACTCTTCCCCCGGTCCTCCCGCAGCACGGCCGCCTGGAGCCGGTGTCGCCTCTCCAGGAGCCAGAGGCGTGTCTGCACGCCCAGCACCGCAGCTGGGCCACGCTGCCGCTGCTGCGGGCCGCCGCCGCCAGCAGCTCGGCCGTGCGCCGCGCGCTCTGCCGACCCGCCTGGACCTCGCTGCTGCTCGACAGGATCGAGCCGCACGTGCCGGTAGGTGGAGCGGGGGGGGGCTTTGGGAGGGCCGAATAAACGGGGGCAACTGCATGATTTTGCGAGAAGCTGCTGAAAGTTAACTTATCTTTGTCGCTTATGAACAGCTACCGCACTATTTTCGTAGTTCAATAATATTGCGTTGAGAGATATGATAAGAGCATTTCTAACTCAATGCATGTAGGCAACGACAATCGGTATGGCATGTACCCAGTTCATGGCTCGAATCGAGTACTTTTTTGCCGCGCTGTCTGACTCTCCCTCTATCTCCGTCGCCAGGTGGCCACTCAGCTATAGTGTGTTGTCCTGCTCTCTCCTTCTCCAGACCCGCTCTTTGTCCTGTAGTCAGGTGGCCACTCAGCTGCAGTGCGTACTGCTGCTGTCGAGGAGTCTGACCCTCTCTCTCTCTGTCTCTGTACGTAGGTGGCCACGCAGCTGCAGTGCGTGCTGCTGCTGTCGTCGAGTCTGTCGGCCTGCGAGGACCCGGCTCAGATGCGCGCTCTGCTCCACCGACTCCTCACCAGACTGGGAGACACCATGCTGACCGGGGCCAACGAGGCCAAAGTGGCACACAGTACGTCATGCACGCCGCGCAGATACTCATGATTCGCTGGCCTGACCGAGGGCGGTTGTGTCGAGGGTGGTTGGGACTTGGGACTGAGCTGTCGAGTCGAGCGACGAATAATAATTTATCGAGACAAGATCAGAGTTTTGGCTTGAGAATGAGTGCCACTGGGTCATAAATGTTTGCCCTTACTACCATATAGGCAACTGATCTCTGCTTGACCGTTGATTTAGCCCCAGGCGGTGGATGGTGTGACCCGGTCTGACCTGTGTGCCCTCAGACAGAGACGGTGTGACCCGGTGGCGGGGGCCACCACTCTCTGACGGCCTCCCTCAGGCGGTGACCCCGTCTGAATTATGACCTCCCTCCCCCTCAGACGGTGACGGCGTGACCCGGTGGCGGGGCCACCACTCTCTGACGGCCTCCCTCAGGCGGTGACCCGGTCTGACCTCTGACCCTCCCCCCCCCCCCCTCAGACGGTGACGGCGTGACCCGGTGGCGGGGGCCACCACTCTCTGACGGCCTCCCTCAGGCGGTGACCCCGTCTGAATTATGACCTCCCTCCCCCTCAGACGGTGACGGCGTGACCCGGTGGCGGGGCCACCACTCTCTGACGGCCTCCCTCAGGCGGTGACCCGGTCTGACCTCTGACCCTCCCCCCCCCCCTCAGACGGAGACGGCGTGACCCGGTGGCGGGGCCACCACTCTCTGACGGCCTCCCTCACCTCCACTGTGGCCGAGGCCGTGGTGGCGCTGGTCCGGCGGCTGCACCAGCTGCCCGCCTGGACCGAGGTGACCAGCCGCTACCTGGCCGACTGCCTGGTCGCCCTGCCGGCGCCGCCGCCGCCCACCGACAACGAGGTTAGAAAAGGTCTCACAGGGGCTGATTTAGGACCGATTACTTGTGTGATCCAACATGAGATCGAAGTACGCGACGCCAACGTCATCATTCATATCATCGCCCACCAGTCACAGTTTTTTTTTTTTAGTGGTTTCGAGCGTGCTGTGCTGATCCCTCTCGTCAGGGTGCCTATTTTTATTTGACGCTATAATTGTCGCATTCTCATCGACACACGGCAGTAAACACCCTCCCCTCCCCACCAGTCTGTCGCTGCTGCGGTGGTCGCTGCCGACTCTCCCTCCGGCCCGGACTCAGTGGGCGACTACCGCCAGTCGGCTCTGCTAGCCGCTCTGGCAGTGCTGGGCGGCGTGGACCCGCGGCCGCGGCTCGGTGGCGCCGTCACCGTCTCCGCCGCGCCCGCCTCGGCCGGCGGAGGGGGCGCGGGAGCCGCGGATTCACAGGGTGTGGTGGTCCGACTCGGCGTACAGAAGCTGTTTGTGCGACTGAACTCGCCTGGTGGTGCCGGCGAGGTACGGCGACTGGCCGTGGCGGCCGTTACCGCGTGCCAGGCCGTCCCCGCGACCATAGAGCGGTTCCCCACCTCGGACGACTTCATCCAGCTGTGGGCCGGCCTCCTGACATTCGCCATGGACGCGCCGCTGTCCGGCTGTGACCACAGCAAGTCGCCCATGCAGGGTGAGAGATTAGGACGGGAGATGAAGATAAGCTGACAATGCTTTGTTCTAACCATGTTGTTGCTTTAACGGCATGGTAACTTAATATGCCAGCATGAAAAGAATTATAGGACAGTGCATGTTTCTCTGGTCTCTAAATAACGTATAACTTTTCTACATGAAGCTGATTTGTGCAGACTGTCCTCAGTTCTTGAACGCCTGACCAATGACGGCGATTATCCCGCTCTACGCACCGCCTAACCGCCCTCCCTGCCTCTCTCCCGCCCAGCCGGTGTGAGCCGTGTGGGCGTGCAGCAGCTACAGCAGCAGCTGGCCGCTCTGGCTGCCTGCCGGCAGCTGCAGCAGCGTCAGCAGCTGCTCCGGCGCGTACTCACCAGGGGGCAGCTGCTGCCGCGTCTGACGGCCGTGGCCACCCAGCCGAGCCCCGTCCGGACCGTCTACAGTCGAGAACAGATCGAGGTACCGGCGGGAGGGAGGTAGTTACGGAGGTGGGGAGGAACAGGCTGAGCTGGTATGAGATAGAGGGAGGGTCAGCCGTGCGAGCTAGATAAATCGGGAAGGATGGGTGACTGCTGAGCTAAAAGTTAGCAGGCGTTTGCTTATAAGAATAATTTGCATCGTTTTGCTGCCGTGACTTTGGATATAAGCTATGAACTGAATATTCTGGAGTCAAAGGCGAAATGCGCCTGTTGAATCGGTCAAATAGCAAGTTTCAAGTACAAGATACGCCAGGCCCCAACTGCAGGTCAGTCCATCTACCGTTACCTCCCGTTCGGCAGGTGGCTGCGCTGGCGCTCTCCCAGCAGCTGGCCTACGACCTGCACCACGCGCGCGCCGACGTCCGTCTGGACACGCCCGGCTCGGCGGCCGGCGCGCCGCGGGCGTCTCCGCCGCGCCGCAAACGCCGCACCTCGTCCCCGCCACCGAGCGAGATGGTGCGCCAGCTGGCGGAGATGGGCTTCGAGCGACGCGCTGTCGAGAAGGCCCTCCAGTGCATGGGTGAGAGCGGGTGGATGGGGTGGGGCGTGGACGGGGAGGTCAGCGGTGGGTAGTTATGATACCCACAGAGACTGATCGTTTGACTGAGTGGTTGTCTTCTCTATAGTCCATAGAAGGCCTTAGTCATTTTGCCATGGCCTGCTTTTTGAGAACTATTATCACCAACCATATCATCCGCGCACTGTTACGGCAATATCGTGAGCCTCTATAAGCATATTCGCTGATCAAAACGTTTGTCTTACTGTAATCTCCCGAGGCGTTCCGTTTATGTAGACTCTCCCCCTGTCATGTGACCCTGGCAGCTGGTTGCCAGACGGTGAGCGATCGCTGAGTCGTGACCCTCTCCTCCCTTCCCTGCACTGTAGCTGTACAGGTACCGTTCTGTACTGTACTGTACTATACTGTATTACTGTACCGTTCCCAGACGGTGAGCCGAGCGCCGAGTCGGTGGTTGCCTGGCTGTGACCGTCTGCTCCCTTCCCTGCACTGTAGCTGTACAGGTACCGTTCTGTACTGTACTTGCTGTACTATACTGTACTGTACGGTCCCCAGAGGGTGAGCCGAGCGCCGAGTCGGTGGTAGCCTGGCTGCTGGAGCGGCAGTCGGCCGGCGGCGCCGCCAGCTCCGACTCCGACTGCAGCTCTGTGTCCTCCGAGGAGAAGCGCGAGGACGGCGAGTTCGAGGACGACGAGGAGGACGAGGAAGAGGACGAGCTGACGGCCAGCAGTCTCTCCGAGTCGGCGGCTGCCGGCGCCACCGGACTGCAGCCGGCCGCGCAGGTGGGATTTTAGTTATTAGTGTAATGCATGAGTATGAAAGCTGCAGTTATCACGCTCGCCTGCCAGGCGGGGTGAATAGCGGATGTGATCGTGGTGTTGTGTTGGGTCTGAACACATGCTTCAGCATTTAGGATCGGTATCATGTTTTCCATGCTTTTTGTGATTGTGGCTTGAGCGCTGTTCCCCTAAATTTTCTCATCCACACCCAGGGAGTTTTCCTTACACTTTGAGCGCTACCAACTTTACGTTTTCCTCATTCTGAAACGACCATGCCAGTCCAGCTATTCAAATTCAGTCCTGAACTCTCACCCCGTCTCCAGACCGCCTTCCGGCTAACCATCTCTCTCCGTCACTCGCAGGCCTCTATCGGCGAGGCATTCCGGCGCCGACACCAGTTCGCCACGAACGACGACTACGCGCTGTACGTGCGGAGCCACATCGCCGTAGGCCAGACGGTGCGCTGCTGCCGATCGTACGAGGAGGTGCACGAGGGCGACGTCGGAACGGTGGTCAAACTGGACAGGGACGGACTGCACGATCTCAACGTACAGGTGAGCACGCGGTGGCGAACTGACAGGGTGAGTGGTGGCAGCTGCGAGAATTGGTTAGAAGAAATCGAAGGAGATGTTATTCAGCAGGGAGAAGGATATCGATACAAACCAGATGACTGCTTGATGACGTGAAGTTTTTAGTTTTTCCCCGATGCATAGTCCAAATGACATTCTGGCTGAGGCGCTCAAAATCCTGTTCGCCACTAACGGTTCGAGCACAACTTATTATATTTCCCGCGCTCACTGATGATAATATGGTTTAACATGTTCTTTTTCTTACATTGTCCTGAATATAATTCCAGAATAATTAAGTCCAGAATTATTCTGGACTTTAGCCTAGTAGTTGACCTTTCACACTTTCTACCCTCCGTTACCATCCCATAGCGTTGGTCAGCCTGCCCTCACCCGCCTGTCTGACCTCCCCCCCCCCTCCCTACACCCAGGTGAACTGGCAGCGGAAGGTGGGCATCTACTGGGTGCGCTACATCCACGTGGAGCTGCTGGGTGTGACCGGCGTGGCCGCCACCACCACCCATATCCGAGTGGGGGACCGGGTGCGCGTCAAACCGTCCGTGCACACGCCCAAGTACAAGTGGGGCTCGGTGACCCACCGCAGCGTCGGAATAGTCACAGGTGAGAGCAATGTCGCTGGGATGATGGAGCGACGCTTACTTTTGTTGTGTCCATGCCCATCCATACAATCCCCACATTTTTCACTGCATCACTGTCACGTCTTTTTCTTTATCATTCCTTAACCTACCACGATGTAAAACTACAGTCCTGCGTGATCTACGGCCCTTCCTCCATTCTACCCGTCTGCCCGGCATGATGCGATACTGCTATCATCGAATGACCTTTGACTTTTTACTGGGCAACGCGTTTCTTCAGTCTGGTCCTTACTCTGTCTTGCTTTTCAGGCATCATCAACAACGGGAGGGACGTCACGATCGACTTTCCGCAGCAGAGTAACTGGACCGGCCTACTGACGGAGATTGAGCCGGTTCCCACCAGCCACCCGGACGTCAGTTGTGCTGTGTGCGCCGCCGCTCCAATAGTCGGTACGTATTGGACTGAACAGCTGTAGTGTGTACGTATTGGACCGGTCCCCACCAGTCACCCGGACGTTAGCTGTGCCGTCTGTGCCGCTGCTCCTATAGTCGGTACGTAATGAGTCGGCTTCCACTTTTATCGTCGGCATGTATTGAGAGCAGCTGTACACCAAGGAATGCGCATGGCAACGCGCTGTAGACTGCTCGGGACAGGAGAGTTGCGTCCGTGCTGGTGAGGGATTCTGGGTGAGTCAGGATGATGAAGCAAATAAATTCACTTCATTTTGATTTATTGTTTCCAGTCTTGAATCGCGTCATATTCCTCACATGCTTTGAAACTTCCTCGCTCTGCGGCAGGTCCCCGGTACATCTGCAAGGTGTGCGACCGCTGGGACCTGTGTGAGGGCTGTTTCCGGACGTCGCGCGGCCACCGGCACGGCTTCAGTCGCGTGCTGGAGCCGGGCGGCGCGCCCGTGTCGGCCGGCCGGCCGGGCCGGTGGCGGCGCGGCGCCGGCGCCGGCGGCCTGCCCGGCTCCCCGGCCGTCGACGGCCTGGTGTCCGAGTTCCGGCGCTGTGTCCGCGGTCTGTCCGTCTCCAGCCTGGAGGGGTGCGCTGACAGACTGGCAGAGGACGTCAGCGGCTTCTGGCAGAGCTGCGGCGCCAGCGGCAAGGTGGGCGGCGGACGGGGACAGTCTGTGCGGGAGAGCGGGAGGATAGAGAGACTGATGATGACTTATGGTTAGTTGGTGGGGAGCTATTGGTTATCAGAGCGGACAAGGAGAAGGGCGTATAGTAATTGTGTTATGTTGAAGGATATGAGCAAAGTTGAGGGTAGGGAAGGGTCACTACTCACTGCAGGGCAGATCTGAGGAGGTTTGATAGTCAGAAGCCAGAAAAAGGCCTACTTGCGTTAACAGCCCTCTTCTAACAGGTAACTGTACTAGTGTGCTTTGCGTTACTCCGCACAGTCCCCCAATCACACCCCACCCTTGTGTGCTCAGCACTGGATCCGTCTGGAGATGCAGCCCGGGGTGGCCGTCCACCGTCTGCAGCTGCTCTGCTCGCCCGCCGACGGCTCCTACATGCCCTATCTGCTGGTGGTGTCTGCCGGCCCGCAGCTGACCGCCCTCAGACAGCTGGCCGTCGTCACCGTGGCCGCCGACGAGACATGGGTCACACTGCTCTATGATGTCACGGAGGTAGGTCACAGACCAGGGTCACTTTGTGCAAGACTGACTTCCGTAACGGAGGTTATACTGGAAAGTTTGCGATACTGGGCCGTGGTCTAATGCGCCATGCAAGACTTGATGAAATCATTGAAAGCGATGTGTGTTGGTAGCTTCGGAATCTAATGCCTTCATAGTGACGTACATTATACAATTTCCGGTGAGTTCCAATATGTGTTCCACTAAGCCATTAGCCGAAAATGTCCCGCTGGTCCCTGCACTTCTTCCAGCACTTTAATTTGTAGCTGCCCTTTATCGCATCTTTATGCCCTTCATGACTCTTCCGCCCACTGCAGGACCTTCTGTGTCTCACCTCTCCCTCCGCTGTGCCCGCAGTACCACCAGTACATCGAGATCGCCATCCGCGAGTGCCGTGACGGCGGTATCGACTGTCGAGTGCACGCGCTGAGGGTCATGGGCCGGCAGCTGGGTACTGACGACTCGGCCGGCGCCGGCGGAGGTGTTCACTTTCTGGCCAGCGACGGCGAGGAGGTGAGAGAGGGAGGGAGGGATGATGGAGAGACGCCGGGGAGAGGTCTGGGGAGAAATGCCAGAGGGATAATGCTGAGGGGAGAATGAGTAGTTGTGGCATCGTGGTTCCAAACATGAATTATAGGCTTTAGCAGGCTGCGAGCTTTTTTCTTCTCAGATTGGACTGGTGTTTTACCGACCTTCAAGCTAATGGACTGTGCAGGGAGTGCAACACTTCTAATGCAGGCCTTGTCCCCCATTTTCCCTGTTATTACAGTGAAATTTTCGTAATATTGCAGCTCTCTTATTCTGCGAGGTAGCGTTATTTCATCATCAGATTCACGCACGCCTCCATTAGCTCTCTCCCCCAGCACGCAGACTACCACCAGTGAACCCCTTCTCATCACCCTCTCTCTCTCCCAGGACTCTGAGGCGGGCTACCTGTGCCGCCCGTCCCCCGCGCCGGGCGCCGCGGCCGGACTGCGCAGCCGCGTCTTCGTCTGGGGTCTGAACGACAAGGACCAGCTGGGCGGCCTGAAGGGCTCCAAGATCAAGCTGCCGGTGCCGTCGGAGGCCCTGAGTCGCCTTCAGCCGGCGCAGATCGCGGGGGGAAGCAAGTGCACCTTCATCGTATCGCAGGACGGCAGGGTAAGTGAGGAAGGGGAGAGACGAGAATGACCGGATTCACGGTTGTGGAGAGGATTGGAATAGAGACTCACTGAGGAGGGGAGTGCGCAAAGAGTTAATGTAAATGTTGGCGCTGACGTGGACGGTGTGGGCGTAGTATACTATTGGACTGCTGGTAAAAAAGGCCGTCCTCTGGTCTACTCAATGTTTGTATGATTACGAGCGAGCGAGCGCAGCGAGCGAAGCGAAGTCTTTTCAATATAACGGAAAAATCTCAGTATGAGCGGCCCGGCCCGGCCCGGCCCGGCCCGGCCTGTAACGCTTTTGAGAGGCTTATATCTCAGCAACCGCTGGACCGAATGGCCTGCAGTCTTTTTTGCTGGGTAGCCCCATCCCTTCTACCTCGTAATTGACTACTTTTGATACGTCTCAGTGACCGCCGTGGCACGTGCCACGTGAAAAGCCAAGGGTGTTCAAGCAGTTTTGCAAAAGTAATGATTTTGAGAGGTCCATATCTCAGCAGCGGCTTGAGCGATTGTCTTGCGGTCATTTTTATAGGGTAGCTGCATCCCTTCTACCAAAGGTCGGATACTCTTCATCTATGTGAGTGACCCCCACTGCACGTGCAAAATACAACAATAAGAGGTGCCAAATTTGTTCCCATTTTAGTAACTCGGTAATTACTGGGGCGATTTCCCTGAAACTTGGCATACAGGTAGGCACCCACCAGGCAATGCATTCCCATGTGTTGCGGTTAGGGCGCTACTGCACGTGCGCACGTGCAGGGAGCGTTTCCAGATCTCGAGAACGGCTGGGCCGATTGCGCTCAAATTTGGTACACGGTTGGGGACCGGTTAGTAGGGTGCCGTGCAAAAGTCATTTTGGACCCCGTTTGCACGTGCGCACGTGCAGAATGCCGCTTCCAGATCTCAGGAACGGCTGGGCCGATTGCGTTCAAATTTGGTACACCGCTAGCGACCGGTTAGAAGGGTGCTTTGCACAAGCCCGTTGGAAGTACCCTCTCGCCCTTCTGCACGTGCAGGGCTCACTATCTCGCTCGCTCGTTCTTCGCCCAAAAGGCGTTTTACTGGTTATTATACTCGTAATTTAACGTGTTGCTACTGTGTTTATGTGGTTTTACCGAAGCTAGATGTCTGCTGATCGACAGAATAGCATTTCAATATTGGACCTGAAGACGACCTGAAGACCTGCCATTTTATCTGACTTTGTGTCATCGACTTCCATGTCCGCCTGCTGGACTTGCTCTGAGAAGTACACGCTACCGGGCTAAACTGACATCGACTCTGCCACCGCCGCCACTGTCGTCCTGACCTCCCGCTCTCGTGTCTCCGCCAGGTTTACGCGTGCGGCGAGGGTAAGAACGGCCGACTGGGGCTGGGTCACTGCATCATCACCAGTACGCCGCGGCAGCTGACCTCACTCAGCCAGTACGTGGTGAAGAAGGTGGCCGTCAACTCTGGCGGACGGCACGCGCTCGCCCTCACTGCGGACGGGAAGGTGAAGGAAGGAGGGTGGACTGGCCTGGGAAGTGAGGGAAGGAGGGTGGTGCCCTAACAGCAGACGGGAAGGGACGGAGGGTGGCGTCCTCACCCTCACACAAGGGGCGTCAAATGGGTTGGTGCTCGGTTTGTCTCGGGTAGTGTGTGGAGTGGATTGGTAATTAGGTTGGTGCGGCTGGTTGTGGATCGGGGCGCTTTGGTTAGTTATTATGAGTAAATGAACGACGAATGAGGAAAGCTGGCTAATTCTTATTTTCCATGCGACTGACGCCTCGCCTCCATCATTTCGTGCAACTCATTGTGACTGACCTTTCCCTCCCCCGTAGGTATTCTCCTGGGGCGAGGGCGACGACGGTAAGCTGGGCCACGGCACGCGCCAGTCGTGCTTCAAGCCGCGCCAGGTGATGGCTCTACGCTCGCGGCGCGTGCGGGACATCAGCGCCGGCAGCTCTCACTCGGCGGCCATTACGAGCTGTGGCCACCTGTACACCTGGGGACTGGGAGAGTACGGTCGGCTGGGCCACGGCGACGGACAGACGCACCTCACGCCCAAACTGGTGAGTGAGAGGGGATACTGGGGCGGTCCGGGGATCTGGGATCTGCGGCTGCTGTAATCTCGTACTGAATCATGAACGTCACTAGCGCAAAATGACCTCAGTCAGTGATCGGTGCGGCTCGGTGCGCCCTAAATTCCTAAAGCCTAATGAACAAACACATCTTATTAAATGACATGTTGTTCATCAATCACTGAAAGCAGCTAATTGGGCAGAAAGATGGCTGCATCGCCGTGACTAAAGTCGCTTGCTCAAGTGAAGCGTTTGTTATCACTGATGCTCAGCTGCAGAGGGTAACTAAGCGATAGGCGAATTCACAGCGAACCTACCCCTGCGGCCAGTGTCACGTCCAGCTGAAGTATTGTCTCCGTCTGTCAGGTGGAGGCTCTGGTGGGCCACCGCGTGGTCCAAGTAGCCTGCGGCTCCCGAGACGCCCAGACGCTGGCGCTCACCGACAAGGGGCTGGTCTTCTCCTGGGGAGACGGCGACTTCGGAAAACTCGGTATGATCAGGCGCTGGGGTAGTTGTCGAGGAACAAGTCTCCTGCAATGGCCTTTTCCGGGCAAAAGAGCTTGCTCCCAAGTCCCAACAAAATAAACAAGCAAGCACGCCACGGACGTACGTTGGATAGGATTCTTCGAAATTTAGAACTGCAGACTGCAGTTGATTTACCAAAACAAGTTATGCTTTACGACTGATATGCAGGCTGTTCATAGGAGTGGGTACGAGGGAGTAATGAGTGTTTGTGTCCTTGCAGGCCGCGGCGGCAGCGAGGGCTGCGCCGGTCCCCACAACGTGGAGCGACTGAACGGCCTGGAGGTCTGTCAGGTGGAGTGTGGCGCCCAGTTCAGCCTGGCGCGCACCAGAACCGGGCAGGTCAGTACCGGTGGCGGGCTTCAGAAATACTGGCGACTGTTCTTTATTGATGGGCTGAATTAAAGTGACACAGACAATTTAAGATTGTGTGAGATTGCCATCGCCCATCACATGTTTTTGTTGGCTTTGGCGACTTCTGGAAACCGTATTTCATTCATAACTGTGATGGATGGCTGGTTTCGTTCGCAGGCCATCAAACACTTGCTGGGTGTCGACTGTCTATTTTTGATGAAATTGAAGTCATTAAAAGTTGAATAAGAATGTAAACGACATGATATAATAAAATCTTAAATCACTATGTCCGACATCGCTTGATTGTGTCCCCTGCCCTTGCCAGGTGTGGACCTGGGGCAAGGGCGACTACTACCGGCTCGGGCACGGTACGGACCAGCACGTGCGCCGGCCCAGTCAGGTGGAGGCGCTCCGGTCACACAAGGTGGTGCACGTGGGAGTGGGAGCGCTCCACTGCCTGGCCGTCACCGACACCGGACAGGTAAAGGGTACGGGGAGAGCTGGTGGTCGAAGTGAGGGTGCCCCCAGGGAAAGTCAGTGGGCGGACAGCGGGACAGAAAAAGTAGACACACATGTCGATTGTCGACATGTGGTGATGCTAGAGCGAAAATTTTCGCGATTACCAATTTTGCTGGTATGTGGAGTCGTGGACGCATCGGTGTGCTACCCAATATTGAGTTGTGATCAAATGAATATGCTTTCTTCTGAGCCAAACTCACAGCCGTTCCTCATGCAACGTGATTGACAGAATGTGGCTCGATCTTAGCTATTGCCTCCTGAAGTGGTCCATGTCGCCTGCTGTGACCAAGGAAGTGACCTGCCCGGCCCCCGTCAAGTGACCTGTGAAGTGACCTACCCCGTCCCCGTCAGGTGTTTGCGTGGGGCGACAACGACCACGGCCAGCAGGGGAACGGCTCCACCCAAGTAAACCGCAAACCGACCCTGGTCCACGACCTGGAGGGAGTGCGCGTGTCGCGCGTCTCGTGCGGCTCGAGCCACAGCGTGGCCTGGACGACACCCGAGCCGAGCGCTCCGGCTCAGCACGAGCCGGTTCTGTTCCCGTCGGGCCGCGACCCGCTGGGTGCCGACACTCTGAGCGCCGCCGCCGGACCCGGCTCGACCCCGACCGCGGCGGTCCGACCGAGCCCGGCCGGCGCCGAGGCGGCCGCGGCGGCGCCGGGAGCGGCCTCCAGAGCCAAGACGCGCCACATGTCACTGGCCAGGTCACTGCTGCTGATGGAGTCGCAGGCAGGACAGAAGGTGAGTGGTGGATTTGACGTCCGGTGGGTGCAAGGTGATGGGCTGGCGAGCTTCAGTGGGTTTGCAGGTTTGCATGGTGGTGAGCAGGGTATCTCAATGAACATATGTAATTAACCCGCGCCCTGCTGGGGGGGGGGGGGGGGGGGTTGAACACCCCCCTTGTGGTTTTTCGCGAATATCTCAAAAACGGCGGCGCGGTACACCTTATCATACATCAATTCTACACATGTTGTGAAAATTTCAGACCAAGGTCATTCAAGGTCAGGTCACCAGGTCACTTGAAGTGACCTCACCTCATAAAAAGTTTCAATGTCTGTCATAGCTACACCGAGTGACCGATCGCTTTGAAACTTTCAGCGATTGCTAAGAGCAATAGCATGTACAAAATGTATATCTCAGAATTTTGATATCGATGACCTAAGGTCAGGTCAATTTTGCGACCTCCCCATTATAAGTCAATGGGAGAAAATTGAAATGCGCCTCTTTTGGACGGAAGACATTATAAACACTCCCAAACACTGAATTACAAGTGGTTTAGACACACTGAACATGAAAATGGTGTCCGTGACCCCTGTTTATGCCCTGAGGTCATCTTAGGTCACGAATGGTATCTAACAGTTTTTCGCAAATAACTTTTGATAGAGGCATGCTAGAGCGATGAAAACGCCTTAGATATGTTCAGCTCGACGATACGGATCGACTGATATGCAACATGACCCTTTCCGGTCAGGTCATGACCTTGACCTGAGGTCAAATTTTCAAGCTGACCTTTCAAGGTCAAGTTATAGTTCATTCGATGCGTCTTGACGAGAGGAACACGATGCCGGTAGAAGTAAGCTCGTATAAGGCTTGGGTCAAAAGTTATTGCAGAATAACTGTTTCCGAAAAAAAATCGGCTATTTTTGCAGTTTTTGCCCCCTGCAGGCAAAACCGTTGACGTTAGGTCAAATCTGAGGGAATTACTCAGAAAGGGCGTTAATAGGGTTATCGAATGCGCTTTTCCGCGGCGCTGTAGCTCTATTTGTTCCCGAGTTATGCGTTGGCTTCTTGGAAATTGTCGACATTCGACCTGGAAATCGGCGAAATTTTGCCTTCAATGACCTCTGGTGACCTGACCTTTGACCTGACCAAAACATTGACCGAAGTGATTTCCTCATTATTTTTGACGCTCTCTCGAACGCCGCCTTTCGCGTATCGCTACGTGGCCCAGGAGCCGAGTTAGAAGGGGGGGGGGGGTGTTCAAGCAGGGCGTGGAAATCCAGGACCCCCAGCCGGGCGCGGGCTAACGCATAACGACTTTGTCATAACGACATAAAGCTTCAATGTGATGTTATGGATTTTTTTTTGTTTTAGTTGGTGGGATGCTGCGTTAAAATTAATTCACAATGATTACACTCTACCTCTCTGATCTCTGACCTGCTCCCTTTCCCCGCGTTCAGATGGCGCTGCAGCGTCTGCTGAAGGCTCTGGCGGTCACCACGGCCCGCGAGACGGTACTGGCCGCCGTCGTGTCCAGCGTCGACCACATGAAGTCCGATCACTGTGAGTTGATATGGAGGTAGTAAGCACACCCCATAGGCAATGACCTATCTGTGGGGCGGCCATTGAAAGGCCAATAGAATTGTGGCGATGTAGTGGTATAACTATGTAGAAGATGGTCTTTCCGAACTGTCATTCGACCATATTTTCCATTGCTGCTGAAGCCCAGTCATCTCTCATCAGTTTAGCCGTTTTGTATCCATCATTGGAAGTTCTCTTCACAAGATCTCGACTCTGGTCCACCGTGACCCATCACCCCGCCCCACAGCGCCGGCCTCGTCGTCTGTCTGCTCGGCGCCGGCGGCGGGCGCCTGGCAGGACTCGTGTGACGAGGACACTCAGTCGGGCTCGGACTCTTCGGCGCCCTCCGTCTCTGCCGGACCGGTAACTCCCGAAGTGGCGGACGGCGGCGGCGAGGCGCCCGTCTCACTCGACGATACGGTGGACCAGGTGAGACGGTGGTATAGGTGGGAATGAATGGTTCGGGTACTAGATTCATCTCATTTTCACTTCGTTTATCAATCATGGTGAAGTTATTATTGTATGGTGAATTTATTATTGTAAAGGCAGGGTGGTTGAGTCTGCATACTTAGATCGGTAACTTCCGAAGAAACCTGATCAGGCGCGGTTGAGGGGTGCCCGTTAGGTAATTGAAACAGGGGTTTTCCTTGTATAGCATTGTCTCGTTCAATTACACTCGACTCTGTCTCGTGATAAAGTCATCTTTTGCTATTCGCCGCGATATCGACGGCTTTCTGGCCCATCACAGCGCTGCATCAGCTATTTCACCCTCCCCCCCCCCGCTGTCTCTCTCAGAGTCCCAGCTCGGCGGCCGTCTCCCTGTCTGTCTCCGCCTCCGCTGCTCTCCCCGCCTCTCTGCCCGCCTCTCTGTCCGCCTCTGCCGGAGGCGGGGCCGGCGCGGCGGCGGCGGCCGGCTCCGACTCGGCGTCAGACGAGGTGTCGGCGGACGGCGGCGCGGTCACCGTCTCCAGCCGGATGTCCCAGGCGGCCATCACCGTCCTGGCGGCCACGCTGTCGGCACCCGAACAGGTCGGTCGGGGGACTGGTGAATCAGTCTTGGAAGGTTCGGCTTCAGATGTAAGAAGTTGTGTTGCTCTTTCACCTAGGAAGGGGTGTTACTTTTTATGTTCCGAGATCTATACAGGACAAGTCGAGTGTGATGCAGGCAGTCACAATAATATTGTTTGCATTTGACTAAAGGCCGCCCCACACTGGAACTCGCATGCGGGTTGCGAGTTTGCGGGTTTTAAGTTTGCGGGCATAATACGAATTCATAGAGTGATTAGACCGCTCCCTTGTGGTAATTTAATGAATGCAGTGAAGCCGGTTCACCTTCAGAAACTAACATATAGTTGCAATACCAGCGCAACGAACCAAAATTCGACTCCAACGAAAAACCCGCAAACCTCGCAGAGCTCGCAGACCTCGCAGCGAGGAAAATCGAAAGTTGACTCAAAATCAACTTTTGGGATGCGATGCAAGGTGGCTCGCAAGCTAAAAGCATGCAGACTCGCTTGTTACATGGTAGTATGGGTCACTCAGCATAGATTGTATTATTTGATTTTAAAGAAACCCGAAAACCCAAAAACCCGCAACTCGCATGCGAGGTCCGGTGTGGGGCGGCCTTAAGTCTCATAAATATCTTCCTGTCATAGCATCTTCTCCATTTAGCCATACCCTTCTTCTTGAACGCCCGTAATGGGACGTTTCCACGTGACCTGCACTTGATCAGTGCCATGTACTTAATACTCATGTAGCCGGTGACCATGCGTTCCACGCCGCCCTTCCTGCTAACCGCCCCTCTGCCCCTGTCAGGTGGAGACTGCTCGCACACCTGAGCTGCGTCTGGACAGCTTCACCTCCCAACTGACGGCGGACGACGCGCGAGGCCTGGTCGACCTGCTGAAACTGGCCGCCGCCGGCCGAGTGCGAGACGACGCGACCGGGGCGCTGGCGCAGCTGCTCAAAGGTCAGACACTGAGCGGGAGAGATACTGTGCCTGACGACCTGGTCTAACCTGCTCCTGTCCGCTCTGCCGGGACCCTGTCCCTGGCTCAGCTAACCTGTCCTCTGTGCCGCAGCGATGGGCCGCAGCCAGCCGGCGGTGAGCGCCATGCTCCTGGAGACCTGCGTCACTGAACTGGAGGACGTGGCCAGCGGCGGTGGCGGCGCGGCCCGCCTGCCGCCGCCCGTCGTCCAGGAGTCGTCACACCCGTACCTGAGGGACACCAACATATCGGGACTGGTCCGAATACCAGGTGAGACGGCTGGGAAGGGAAACGGTCGGTGGTAGGAGAGATACGGCTTGGAACTGTCTTCCTAGTCTCTGCATGTAGCTTGCAGCAGCTCGACTGGCTCCTTTGCTCCCGCTCCCTCAAATGCAGAGTTCTGGGTTTATTCTGACCCTCTTTCCGTCCAGGGTCCCCTCTCCCGTTATCAGGCGCCGGGTCTGTGTTGAGTCTGACTCACCCTACCTCCCTTGCCGAGTCTCTCTGGGTTTAGCCTGATTCCTTTCTCTCCTCCTTCAGGTGCCGAGTCCCTGTGGGTGGAGTTCGACCCGCAGTGCTGCTCGGAGCGGCGCAGGGACCCGCTCACGCTCACTGACGCCGGCGGCCGGGTACTGGCCGTCCGCTCCGGCCGTGACCCGGCCGACTGGAGCACCGAGCTGCGCGTCTCCGGTAACGAGCTGCGCTGGAAGTTCGTCTCCGAGCTGGGCGGCGGCGGCAACTGGGGCTGGCGCTTCACCGTGCACCCGGTGATGCCGCACGGCGCGGAGACGGCCGGCGCCGGCGGATCCGACCGCAGGATACTGTCGCGGCCCAGCCTCGACCTGGTCAGGTGAGGCAGCTGGTTCACTGCCGGGGGTCGTGGGAGGAGGTGGGCCGCTGTGGTAGACGAGTACTTTGTGGTGGGGGACTGGAATGGGATTATTTTTGCATTTCTGATGGAGATGTGACTGAATCCATATGCAACGTGTGGACGTTGTGTAAACTGCGGTTTTGAGCAGTGTGTTCGATACAGTCTAAAAATTTAGTGGTCTATGATCTGACATTGCAGATGCTGACATGAACTTTATCATGCTGCCCTCTGACGTATCCCTGTCCCTCTTCACAGACACCTACTGGACGTTCGTGCGGCCCGCGAGCCGGGCACCGTGTCCCGTCTGACGGCAGCTCTGGCCGCCTGCGCCCAACTGAGCGCCCTGCAGCCGTCGGCGCGCCGCTGGGCGCTGCAGCAGCTGCGATACCTCCTCTCCGCCACCGGCCGGCCCGCCACCCCCGGCGCCGACACCGCGCCCTCCGGCCCTCTGTCCGTGCTCGTCCAGGCGCTGCCCGAGGCGCTCTACCGCCAGTTTGAGTACGAAGAGCCGCAGGTGCGCGCCGGGAAGCAGCTGATGCACAGCGCCTTCTGCAAGGAGCTGGCGGCGCTGGCCTGTGAGCTGGAGTTTGACCGGCTGCCGGCCATCGCCGAGAGCCACCGCTGGAGCTGGTTCAGGCGGTACTGCCTGGCGTCCCGCGTGATGGCGGCGCTGATACAGCGACAGCCGCTGCCGCGGCCCTTCCAGGACGAGGTGGGTCCGGGGGAATGGGTAATTCAGGAGAGGACGTGTATGGGGTGGGAGCTTGACTAGAGTCTGCCACTGATTCGTGATGATCGTTAAGATGAAATGTGCTGTCCAATGTCCATCTGCTTAGCCTCTCGTAAGTCATGAGCCGACGAACTACCTCTTGCATAACTGCATGTATTATCATTTCACGCACAGCACTCCTTCCTTTTGACCTTATCGTGCGATGGTCAATCTAACCCGTGCTCGCGTCTCCAGGTGGCCAAGAAGATCCGTGAGCTGAGCGGAGAGGAGGCCACTGATTCTCGACACGTGGATCACGGCGTGTTTACCGAGGACCGCGACCAGCAGCTTCTACACTGGATACACAGGTGGGAACAGTACGGGGTTCTGCCGGTATTATACGGGATGGCAGCTGGACGTAATGTGACGTGGTAGGGTTTAACTTGTTCGCTAGTTATACCTTGAGTTTGATGGATGTTTGAATGATGTTAATGGGCTATCCACCGAAATGGTTGATAAGTAAGTAGTGCGTGAAGCAGTAAGTGAAACGGCATCATGCAGCTGTGTTATCGATCGGTTTCTTTTTTCCGGAACACAATTTATTGAGCACATTGAAACACAACAGAATGAAACAAGACACCACATCATTACATTCATTTTTCCATACTCAACATTATCGATCGGTTTCATCGGTAAATAATTTCCCCATATCTTAAGTCGTAACTTTTCGTCTTGGTATCGTATAATTACAGCCATCGCCAGCTGTTTTTACGTACAGTTGATTGTGATGTCTCTCGCCAGGCGGCCGGACGACTGGACGCTGTCCTGGGGCAGCTCGGGCGTCATTTACGCCTGGGGCCACAACCACCGCGGCCAGCTGGGCGGTCTGGACGGCGCCAAGGTCAAACAGCCCACGCCCTGTGAGGCGTTCTCGCTGCTGAAACCCGCCCAGTTGATCGGAGGGGAGCAGACTCTGTTCGCTGTCACCTCTGATGGAAAGGTACCGTGGGATAGGAATGGTGACGGGAAAGGAATGGAAGGGCAGGGTAGCATGGGGTCGGGGCTTGCATGATGACATGTGAATGGTGCATCTTCTGACCGGAGTAACCTTTGACCTATAATTAGTGACTTATTATGTTACAGAGCTCGACCGGTCGTGATCAGCACTGTGCTCGGTCGTAATTTGTGACTTGTAGATTTAGACCCCGTCATCTAGTTTGTGGGACCAATGGCTATGAACGTAACCAACGATCGGCGTCTGTGACCCGTGAACTGTGTCCTGACTGTGACCGGTGACCTATGAGCTGTGACCTCCTCCTCAGGTGCTGGCCACGGGTTACGGCGCCGGCGGCCGGCTGGGTATCGGCGGCACCGACTGCGTCTCCACGCCCACTCTGCTGGAGAGCCTGCAGCACGTCTTCATCAAAAAGGTCAGCTTCCTGTGACTCCGCCTCCTACTCGGATCAGTGTCTGAGCAAGTTGATAGGCAGTTGGCACGGTTCCACGACTGAGGGGGACAAGAGTGAATGTTTCATGAACATTATCCGTACTAGCTGTTGGCGGCGGGCACGGGGCTACGTGATCCCAAGATGGCCAGCATTGGTGGACGGCTAGAGTTCGGAGTTAACGGGGATGTCACAATGCGCATAATGAAGTCACAGTAGTACTTTCTTTCGAACGGCAAATTTCTTTTTGTTCTTTGCGCTCTATGGCCCATGCCGGTGAAGCGTGTGCCCTAGGCGATTGTCCGCTCAGGCTTGGTGAGCTGCCTGAGTTTCCTGATGTGTCCACCAGGTGGCAGTGAACAGCGGCGGCAAACACTGCCTGGCGCTGACGTCCGAGGGAGAGGTCTACAGCTGGGGGGAGGGAGACGACGGAAAACTCGGACACGGAAACAAAAGGTGGGTGTCACTGTCAGCTGACCGGCAGAATTCCGTTGGCTGACTGACTGCGTTTAAAATGCACCCGATGAGCCAGATGATTGCCAAAGCTGGTAGGTGTTTTGTTATTTCAATGTCGCTGTTCACGCCCCCCCCCCCCCCACTACTTTACTCACTATAACCCTCTGCTCCACAGCTCGTGCGAGCGTCCCCGTCTGATCGAAGCTCTGCGCGACAAGCGTGTGGTGCAGGTGGCCTGCGGCGGCTCGCACTCGGCCTGCGTCACTGCCGAGGGCCACCTGTACACCTGGGGTCGAGGGCGGTACGGTCGGCTCGGCCACGGCGACTCGGACGACCAGAGCCGACCCAAACTGGTCGAGACGCTCGTCGGGTGGAGGGTAGGTGGTGGTGGGGAGGCAGCTGTGGTCTCGAGGTCGAGGGAGGACTGAGTGGGGATGGGTTGAAGACTGTTAGTGGAGTGTGGCTTCAGTCATTCGAAAATGAGTGGAATCTAGTCATCGTATCAAGGTGTGCCAGGTTATGCAGTTTAAACCTTTGTTGATTTCTCACCTGTTTAGCATGCCAATGATTAGTGAATGAGTTAGGTGAGTGGACAGACCTAACGCTACTTTATTCCAGCGGCAATAACAGACGAGTTTTCCATATTCCATAACGTCAGCTGCCCCCCCCCCCCTCCCTTCTCTCAGGTAGTGGACGTGGCCTGCGGCTCCGGTGACGCGCAGACCCTCTGTATCACCGACGACGACAACGTGTGGAGCTGGGGAGACGGCGACTACGGCAAGCTGGGCCGCGGCGGCTCCGAGGGCTGCAAGCTGCCGCTGAAGATCGAGTCGCTCTCGGGTCTGGGCGTGGTGCGCGTCGAGTGCGGCTCGCAGTTCTCGGCGGCGCTCACTCGCTCCGGCAGCGTGTACACTTGGTGAGAGGGGGAAAGGGAGAGGAGCGAGAGAAAGAACGGGAAGGGAACGTCCATTATCACGCTATTAGAGGGTCGTTGGGGTTTTGCGTGACCTCCTTGCACTCATTGAAGGTCATTGAAGGGAGGAGAGCTGGTGACTGACTGGAAGGCGTGTTGCCGTGGGCTGACTCGGATTGGAAGATGCTGACGAAATCAGCTGGGCGTTTGATTTAATCCTCTGATCTCATTGGACGTCTGACCTGACCTTTGCCCTGCAGGGGAAAGGGCGACTACCACTGGTTGGCCACTGTCACCCAGTCCCCTAACCTGACCTCTGACCTACATCTGACCTGACTTTTAACCTGCAGGGGTAAGGGTGACTACCACCGGCTGGGTCACGGCCTGGACGAGCACGTTCGCCGTCCAAAGAAGGTGGCCGCCCTGCAGGGGAAGAGGATCATCTGTATCGCCGTCGGTGAGTGACGATAACTAGCTGGGCTGGGACACACACGGTTTTAACGGTTCTGATAAGACAGGGACATGGACCCCTGTGTATTTCCATGAACACCTGTGGCTTCCGGTCTGGCTAGGGGTAGGCTAAGGATCGTGAATTCCTAAACGGCAGCTCCTTACCGCTGTTCGATTAAAATATGTGGAAGCTTATTTTCACTGACCGGACAATTAAATCAGTGAGTCCTGACCCGACTGACCTTCCCTCCCTATCCCTCCTCCGGCAGGCTCGCTGCACTGCGTGGCGTGCTCGCAGGAGGGCGAGGTGTTCACCTGGGGCGATAACGACGAGGGCCAGCTGGGAGACGGCACCACCAACGCCATCCAGCGGCCGCGACTCGTAGCTGCGCTGTCGGTATGTGCCGCGGGCTGCCGGCGGCGCTACTGTCGTCGCTCTGTGAAAGACTTGCAGATTGCGAGCGTATATGTTTTGTAGACAGCCCAAGACGTTGACTTAGACTAACTTAGTAGTTCAGATTGTTTGGTAGTTTGGTAGAGTGTATTCCTTCGCTCTGGAAGAAATGTTTTGTTTGCGGGCTCTCACTATGACAATGACATATCTGACCCGGTCGACACGTTCCCCGGTCAGCAGGGTAAGAAGATAAACCGGGTGGCCTGCGGCTCGGCCCACACTCTGGCCTGGAGCACCAACGTCTCATCAAACACTGGGAAACTTCCCAAACAGGTGAGAGAGCGCCGCCCCATCCGTCTTCGTAGCTGCGAGACTGATTAACTGTATCGGGTTGGATGGGTCTCGATGTAGCCACTGACCGCCCACCAGCAACGAATCGGGCCTTTTGTCTTTAAAACTGTCTGTCATACGACTGTCATCTAACCGCCGCTTCCCTGCCTGAGTGTCTGCTATACGTTTGTCATTTTACCGTTGTTTTCCTCCCTCCGTCAGATCCCTCTGGAGTTTGACCACCTGCGCGAGCTGCCGGTGGCCGTGCTCCGTAACCGACTGGTGGTGCTGCACCACTTCAGCGACCTCTTCTGTCCGCTGGTGCCGCTGTTCCACCTGAGCGCGCCCCAGCTGAGGACGCTCGTCGTGCCGGCGGTGAAGGAGGCCGCCTTCAGAAAGGTGGGTGATTGTAAGGTTAGGAGTCACTAGACCAAGGAGGAATATATGGGAAGGTTTTTAGCTAATGGAAGGATTGTGTTTCAAGTATAATACACCTATAGGGGTATCAGGATAAGAGAAAAAACAGTGACTTTATAGCTGACGTTAGAGGAGTGAAAACAATTCTTCTCTAGCTTCAGATCTCGTCTGACTTCATCGCTGTCCTTTCATGGCTTTAAAAACGCGTAAACTGGATTGTTTGTGAAATGTTGTTGTTTCTCGTAATTCCAGGTAACTTGAGGCTGATACCGTCAGCCACATTTTCTGACCGACGCCTGTGATTACTGACCGACCCTCTCCCCTGCCGTCCTCTCAGGTGGTGCAGGCCACGATGATCCGTGACCGGCAGCACGGGCCGGTGGTGGAGCTGAACCGAATGCAGGTGCGCCGCTCGCGCTCGCGGCCGGCCGCCACCGCCGCCGCCACCTCCGGCCACAAGACGGTGTTCTCCCAGATGGCCTCCAAGATGGGACTGCTGGGCGCCGAGGCGCTCCTACTCCCGCACAGGGTGTGGAAAGTGAAATTTGTCGGTGAGTGATGGATTGAGAACGGATGCAGAGTGCAGAATATGAGGGGAGCTGTGACACACAAAAGAAGGCGGGAGAGTATGGCAGGAGGGTGGAAAATCGTGATTTCGATTGGAATGAAGGTGTCTATGTCGATTTGGTTAACGTGCGTTTGAGAAGACTTAGAGAACTGCGACGTGGAAGGTCATCATTCGTCGTTATCATCTCTCGATCTTCTTCAGCACGCTGGTGGCGATCAGTTGACTTCAATTTCGATAAAGTCCCCTCTCTTTCCACCCACTGTACCCCATTCTTGCTCCCGTATAACCGCGTCTCCTCCCCACAGGCGAGAGCGTGGACGACTGCGGCGGCGGGTACAGCGAGAGCATCGCCGAGATGTGCGACGAACTGTCTGCGGGCAGTCCGCCGCTGCTCATCATTACTCCCAACGGGCGCGGCGAGGCGGGCGCCAACCGGGACTGTCACCTGCTCAACCCGGCGGCTCGCTCCCAGCAGTACAGACATCTGTTTACATTCCTAGGTACGGGAGAGTGGTGTAGGGGCTGGGAATAGTGGGGTGGTATGTTGTGAGAGGCTAAAGACGTGAGATATGACTACTGGTGGGGCCGAATTTGTGTCTGTCTAGCTGTGTGTAGCAGCTGAAGCTGGCTGTTCCCTGCTAGGGAGAGCTAGAGAAACACGGATGGATGTCTCTAGCTGACCGTTTTCCTTCCTCGCCCAGGCCTTCTGATGGGTATCGCGGTGCGCACTGGCTCTCCGCTGAGTCTGAACCTGGCTGAGCCGGTCTGGAAGCAGCTGGTGGGTCTGCAGCTCTCGCCGTCTGACCTGGCCGAGGTGGACCGCGACTACCTGCCCGGCCTGCTCTGTCTGCGCGACGACCCGGCGCTGGCCTCCCTGGAGCTACCGTTCAGCACTCCGTCAGCGGCCGGACACGAGGTGCTGCTCAGTGGTACATACCGGCGCGTCACTGACGATAACAAGACAGAGTACATCCGCGCGGCGCTCAACTATAGGTGAGAGTCGGCGCCGCGCTGTGGTGCAAACAGACTCGATCGTAGACGAGCTGTGGAGTGGATGGACTCGCAGTCGTGTCCAGTCGAGATAACAAATACGGTCACTCCCGCCCGACCTCTGGCCTCTGGCTTGTGTCCGCGCCGCTCTGCCCGTATCGTTGTATGGATCATGGATGGGCCCCGTTGTTAGTAACTCAGTGTCTGACTGCCAGCCTGTCTTTCTGGCCGTCTGTCTGTCGGACCTCCGCTGCCTGTCTCGATGTCGTATCTGAGTCTTTGTCCATCTGGGCGTCGTCTACCCAAGTCTTTCTCCCCATCGGTGTCTAACATGTTCCCCACCGTCCCCACACAGACTACACGAAGCAGACGCGATGGTGGCGGCCGTCCGCGAGGGTATGAGTCGCGTCATCCCCGTACCCCTACTGGAGCTGTTTACTGGCGCAGAGCTGGAGACGATGGTGTGCGGCTCGCCAGACATTCCCATCAAACTGCTCATGGCCGTCGCCACGTACAAAGGTAGGGGAGAGTGGGGTGGAACGGCGAAGGGTAGGCCGGGTCATCATTATCATCAGCCAGTTTATTAATCAAACTGGGTGGGGCTTACCTAGTTGCGTGGATGGTATGATGGTTGTGAACATTCTATGAAAGACTGGTGTCGACTGCTGGTTTTACTCGGTTCTGTGGTCCACATTGATTGTGGTGGGCAATTAATGGTCTTATGGCTCTGGCGTATCACAAGCCAACGGTACCCATTGATCTTTTAATGAAAAGTCTGGCGGAGAACACAAAATCGGTGTACGAGGTTCAATTAAAAGTCGACGCTTTACTCTTACGAATAATGCCCAAGTTTTACTTCACGTCATCGCCGCCTGATCCCAATGACTGGCCGCGGCGGTAGTGGCGCCCCGATCTGACCGTCTCTGCCCCCGCCCCTCGCTGCGCAGGCGTGGACGCGTGCTCGCCGCTGGTGGCCTGGTTCTGGGAGGTGATGCAGGAGCTCAGCACCCTGGAGCGCTCGCTGTTCCTGCGCTTCGTGTGGGGCCGCACGCGGCTGCCGCGCACCATCGCCGACTTCCGTGGCCGCGACTTTGTGCTGCAGGTGCTGGACAAGTACCAGCCGGCCGACCACTTTCTGCCCGAGAGCTACACCTGCTTCTTCCTGCTCAAAATGCCCAGATACTCGTGCAAGGTGAGAACCCACGACAGAGAGATGGGCTTGGCAGAGACATACAGACGGAACAGAGACAGACACAGACACGGACACAGACAGAGTGTTAACAGAGACAGGCCGACAGAGACGATTGGTGGCCAATTGAGTTGGACCTGTGTCTGTCTAGTCAGGTTAGCGTTTAGTCCTTATTTGTGCCCTCTATGGAGCGGGGTGCTATCCTGTTGGGCATGCGGCACCACCGTTGGTCACAGATGTCTGCCTGATGATGTTAATTCACCGCAGAACCTTTTACATTTTAATTGTTAGCTTAGCAAATTGTCGCATGTTTTAAATATTGTGCCATTGCAACGTAAATCGAGCTCGATGCGTGTTGATCTAAATGCGACAACCGTCTATCCTCGCCAGGCTGTGCTCCGCGAGAAGTTGCTGTACGCCATTCACTTCTGCAAGTCGATCGACACGGACGACTATGCGCGCGTGGCCATGACGGCCCAGCAGGCTGAAGAGGAGGACACTACCACGTGAGTAGGGGACTGGGAAGGGGGAGCCCGGGACAGCAGATGAAGCGGAGGACAGCTGGGGCGGGGCGCAGTGACAGTAGTGGATAGCTGGGGAGAGGGCAGTGGAGGACAGGCCGGGCGGGTACGGCAGAGAGTACAGGGGTGAGAACTGTCGAGCTGGACAGGGAAGGGGATAGTAGAAGACAGGGAAAGGGCTAAGTGGAGAGCGGGGTACAGTAATTGAATCATAGTATGGGACCGTAAATCACGTAAATGCTGGAAAAAAAAACAGTCTGATGGTGATCAGATTTGAAGCTGTTGCCATCAGTAAATAACCTACATTTCTAACTGCAGTTCTGCATAAGACTGAGGACTGTACACTCTGTACACTGACAGTGACGCTCCCCGTGCTCCTCTCTCCTCCAGGGAGACCAGCAGTGAGCTGAACGACGGAAGCTACAGCGACTTCTCGGCGTATCCGCTGGACGGCTGATCTCCGGGGGTGTCACACTCACGACGCGGCGCGTCCGACGACAGCGGCTCGCCCTCCGAGGACAGCGGCGTCACTCCAGAGGACAGGAGGAGCTCGAGCGAGGACAGTGTCTCTCACGAGGACAACAATGTCTCTGAAGACAACAATGTCTCCGAAGACAACAATGTCTCTGAGGACAGCAGTGCCGGGGACGGCAGGTTTCCAGAGGACAGCAATGTCTCTGAAGACAACATTGTCTCTGAGGTCACCGGTGTCGCTCCCGAGAACAGCAGGATCTCTTCAGAAAACAACAGTGTCTCTCAAGAGGATGCTAGTGTCTCTGAGGACACCAGTGTCTCCCAAGAGTACAACAATGTGTCTGAGGACAACAGTGTCTCTGAAGGCAGCATTGTCTCTGAGGACACCGGTGTCTCTCAAGAGGACGCCAGTGTCTCTCCCGAGGAAAGGGGGAGCTCAAGCGAGAACAGCAATGTCTCTCAAGGGAACACTACTGCGAACTCCACGGACTCGAGCGTCACTGAGTCTGGGGAATCGCTGGACTCCTCCGACTCCAGCTGGGCGTCACAGGACTCGGAGAACGCCCCCGAGTCCGGTGGATCGTGGGACTCCTCCACTGCCGGGGACTCCGGGGCGTCCTCCGACTTCTCGCTGTAAGTGACGACGCACTATCCGCTGTCCTCGGGCTGCCAGGTAAAGGTTCGGTAAGGGTTCGACTGGGGACGGTCTCTGGACACACCGGACGCCCCCACAGACGACCGACCCAGGGAACGGGAGGACGCGCCGCAAGGACGGGCTGAGGACCGCTATCCTCACGGAGTCGCACTCCTCAGTCGGCACCCCTCGGGGAAGGGTTTCTTTCTCTAGTCAGCAGTTTTGCGATCCTCGCCGCCGCTTTTCGTCGCAATGTCCTGGCTTGTAGCCGCAGATGAGGACCACGCGGTCAGGCGCTGTTAGCCAGTCAGGGTGTTACGTAGAAGCCTGTGCAAGCGGTTCGCTCTACCCCGCAGCTGGCTTCGCCCTGTGAGCAAACGCAGCTCATTATTATACTCTAGATCCGGCTCTGTCGGTCGGCGTATGGAGGGTAGGTACTCTGGTTTAGCCTGGTCACGGCTGGCCACTGGTCGTGTAAGACTCAATTTGTTTCCGGCGTGTCGCCTGTGGAGTGTGGATGTTGTCGCTTATTTATCAATGTTTGTTGCCTGCGTGCCCTGCAGCGCGGGCGGCGCCCGTACAGGGGCGGGCCCCGAGCGAGGGGGAGCGCGTGCCGCCCGTGTCTGCGTGGTTCAGCTCCCGTCGCCACTGCCGCCGCCGCCACCGCCCAGCCACGCTTATCGCAGTGTTGTGGCCACAATGTGATAACTGGACAATACACAGAACGTCTCCGCTGAGTGGAGCGTGTGATGTGTCGCCCCGCGGGGATTAGGACGTCCTTAAGTTTGATTGTGGACTGTGGAGCCAGCTGGGTGGGAATTCACTCCCCTCCGCTATCAGGGGAGTGAATCACAGACATTTAATTGGCCAGATTAAGCGGATGGTGCTAGGGAAGGGTTTTTTTCCGAAAAGCGACGAAGCAGCAACAAAATATGACGTGGTCTTGGCTTCACACGTCAGACGATTTACAGCGAGCCGACACAACAAACTGGACTAGGAGACGAAAATTACGGATTTGGTGGCAGATGGCCGATCTGCAACCATGGGCTGCCATGCCGGTCACCTGACATTACATGCAGTGCACTATCAGTATTGCCGGAAAGTAAGTGTTTGGCACAGCGTTTATTGCATTCGCCCCAACCCGCACAGTTCAATGGCATCACGAGATCAGGCAGTTTGAGTTGGCACCCTAGCGGTACCAACGTAAGCAGCTAACACCACCAGTCACCTAAGCAAAAATGGACGGAATACGTATCACAGTAACGGTTTGAATCACGATAGGCCGACCGTCAAAACGGTCGCCTCGCATGCCTCTCAACGGCTTTGAGCCCAATAACACAACACTTGGTCCCAGCACTGGGAAACACGGTATCAGTTCGGTACACGCCCAGACCGCTGTTGACCCGACGTCCAGACCTCAGCCAGGTCAGACAAAGTGGATCACAAAAGCTGCATCGTCGTCCGGCACTGAAAATATAGAGACAAGTGTCAGTGTTGGTTTAGGCTGCTGGAACTCACTCAGCATGCAAAGAAAACTTCTGTGACAGACCTCTGTAGACCTCGGTATACCAACAGAGGTCTATGTTAGAATATTGGTTCACTAACACTCCGCCAACGGGAAGGAATTACCGGCCTGTCCCGCTCCGTGTCTGGCCGGCACAACCCTCACCTGGTGGCTTGGTGCGCGGCAGGGGCTGCGGCGGTGCCAGTACCAGCCGCTGCGGCGGCGGGCCCGCCCACCGGGCCGGCGGACCGTGCGCCGTCAGGCCGGGCGGCCGCGGCGGCAGCTGCGGCGGCCCGTCCGACTCCCGGCTGGGCTGGCGCGCCCAGGAGGGCCGCGGCGGCAGCGGCGGCGGCACGGGCGCCGGCTCCTCGCCCGGAGAGCGGCGGCCCGTCTCGGCGGCGGCCGGCGCAGCGCGGGTGAGCCGCGGGAGCGGCGGCCGGCCCAGCACCGGCTGCAGCAGACGCGCCGCCCGCATCTGAGCCGCCTGAACACACGGAGAGGGGTCACATCGGCCGGTCAATTATACAAACCACGAACTCATCTCACATAACCACAAACAACACAATCACTCCACCGCAAACGTCCTCTAGTTAGGCGTGGAGATGGACGTCAATTCATGAGGTAACGAATGGCAATGTTAGCCAAAAATCAAAGCACCTCATTACCGAAATCCTTCAGTCACCACCAGCTGATTAGTAATTATAGTCACATAGTTTCAACAGCCATCACAAATAATTGACCCCTGCCTATCATTCAAATTCTCCGCCGAATCGCCTCCCACAGCGGTTACCGCACTCACCAGCGCCCCGTCTCCGTCCCCCTCCACCAGCAGATCATCGGGACCCTCCTCCTCCTCCAGCTCACTGTCCCCGCGTCCCTCGCGGTCTCTGCGGTCCTTCTGGTCCCCGTGGTCCGGTCCGTGGTCCGGTCCGCGGTCCCCCTCCGGACCGCTGTGCCACGAGGAGCTGCAGTCGGATGAACACGAGGTGGATTCGCCGCTCTCAGAGCCTGTCGGACGGGAAAGGCAAGGTCAAATAACTAATAAGTATAGGCGAGTAAAGACAGTGCCACGGACGTTAGGTGCCGACTGTAGACAGTGTGATTGACAACACAGAGCGGGTAATTACGGGTATCCGTATGATGGAATGGATGCATATCAGAAGATCTAGGCCTCAGCCTTCAACAGTGAGTCTTCAGCTATTCAACACTCTCCAAACATCGAATACTAGGTGTTCCTAGTCGTTTTATCGCAGCACATGTATCCCTTTCTTAACAATCGCGAACATGAAGCGCAGTCGAGGACGTGCACACTGCACACTACCACATATCTGATACACTGCAGCAGCAGAGAGATACACTGTACCCACTACCCACTACCCAGCACCCAGTGCCCCTCAGTACCTGATGTAACCGAGGCCTCCTCGTCGATCTGTTCGGCCTTTTCGAGTGCGGCGGCGGCCAGGTGTCTCTGGTCGTGCCTGAGCGCGGCCCGGTGCAGGTCCATGAACAGGTCGTGATCGCGCAGATCCAGCGCTAGACGGTAGGCCTTCTCCAGACAGCGGTGTCTGTGGAGGAAAGGACGGAATGAGAGAGACTAGGGGCGTCGGGGAGTCGATGGAGACCGAGAGATGCTGCGCCAGTGAGATTGCCTCGTGTGATGACTTGTTCACTTAGGTTAGCACCCGTCACACATGAGCAACTGTGGCACACTGTATGCATGATGAAAGCGTCTAGTTCATGCGGTGAGGACGGCGTCAGCGTCAAGCTCATCCAGAGGTGCTTCCGGTCTATCGGCCATGTACTCTTAGACGTGGTCAATAGTAGCCTGACAAGCGGCCATGTCCCTGAGTCATGGAAACACGCGATAGTAACACCACTGCCAAAAACCAATGTTCTCCACGACCCTACCAAATTTCGCCCGATATCGGTCGTTCCGGCTATCTCAAAAATTGTTGAGCGCATCGTTTACAATCAGCTCAACGACTACTTTACCAGGCACGAGCTCTACTCACGATCGCAACATGGATATCGCGCGAATCACTCAACGGAAACGGCTTTGACCGAGGTCACGGACAAAATCCTGTGCAGCATGGACCGAGGCGAGGTCTCGCTGCTTGTCCTGATCGACCTATCGCGCTGTTTTGACGTGATCGATCATGGAGTACTTTTAGAGAACTCAGACTTTACAACATCGACACCACGTGGTTTGAGAACTACCTGCGTGGACACACCCAACAGGTTAAGGCGAGGGATTGTGATGGGAATGTTAAATTCTCAACTTCCCTGCCCATTACCACAGGAGTCTATCAGGGAACATCGCTCGGCCCACTGCTGTTCTCAGTGTTTTCAAATGACCTCGCTCTGCATTCTCACGGAGCATCCATCTTTCAATACGCGGACGATACACAGGTTTTAGTCTCGGGCCGCAAACAGGACATTCATTCGCTGATTGGTAGGATGGAGCAGACTCTGCACGCGTTATCGACATGGTTCTCGACGCATTCTATGAAAGTGAACGCTGACAAAACACAGTTGATGGTTTTTGGAACAAAAGCTATGCTGCGAAACTTTCCAGAAGTTCGGCTCAACTTCGGCGGGTCAGTTATCTCTGAGTGCCGGACAGCGAAAAATCTAGGACTGGTTATGGACAGATATCTGACTTTCGATTCTCACATTGATCAGCTCGTCAGAAAATGCACTGGCATGTTACTCGCTTTGTCCCATGTTAAACACTGCCTGCCGCCCGATGTCATCGAATTACTTGTGATGTGTCTGGTCATATCTCATATACGATACTGTATATCTATTTACGGCACTTACGGACAGGCTCAGAGACATAGGATTCAAAAACTGCTGAACTTCTGTGCTCGGGTAGTATGTGGCGTACGAAAGTACGATCACATCTCGGCGAAGTACAAGCAGCTCGGGTGGCTCAATGCCGAACAGCTGATACTGTATCATCGTATGTGCCTCATACATAGGGTGCGCACCACTGGAGCCCCGGTCGGCATCGTTGAACACCTGGTCACAAGTAACCATCAGCACAGCACCAGGATACGCGGTCTGCTGCAGCGGCCGAGTGTGAAAACAAACGCAGGTGCTCGCAGACTATATTTCAGCGGCATTGATGCATACAATAAACTTCCGCAAGACATTCGCGAAGTGGGAATCACCAGATTTAAGACTCGAGTGACTGACTGGCTGCTGCGTGACACTGGTTAGGTGCTGCCGGCGAATGTCAGAGCGGGTGTTGAACAGTTTGTGTGTGTGGTACAATCGCCTTTCGTGAGTACCCTGCTGCATTGTAAAAGTGTTCATTTTACCTCAGGTGTGTTTTATGTATATCAAGTTTCTATCTTATTGACGCGCGTCTCGGAATAGCCACCATGGATGTGGAAGGGTCGCAAATACATGTCTATGTCTATGTCTATGTCTATGGATGGATAGTGGGGCAGATACAGCTTCTGCGGAGGATGGTGACAGGGCGGACAGGGTGTCGGTGGAAACGGGACATCAGAGAACGGAAACCACTAGAGGGCGGCAAATGTAAAGGAGACCGAGTCTCAGAGCTCAGAACAGTCAACGCTATATAAATCCACGCTTCATCTGATTCAGATAACCCATGCATTGATCAAGCTAAATATTTTCCAGGACGGTTCAGAGCCAACAATGTCCATCTCACGGGGAGAGGTCATAGCGATGCTGTCTAACCGGCCGGCGCCGCTCCACTGACCTGATGAGATGATGGAAGAATCTCCGAGTGATGTTCCTCACCCGGTCTCCGTACATGTTCTGTACGGGCTCGGAGAGGGGCCGCACCGGCGCCAGGTAGCTGCCCAGCGCCGCCTCCAGCTGGGCTGTGACAGAGGACCAAGACACTTGGTCAGTGGAGGCACGCACATGGGACGTCATAGCCGAGCACTGGCTTCACTCAATATACCCTGGGCATGACTGCCAATCTCCGGTACGTCTGGGCTGTCGGGCATGAAAACACGACACAAACAACAATCCAGGAAAAACTGTTGATTGTTTTACCGTAAAAGGTATCGGGTGCAGCAGAGCAGGAATATATTTTTCATTTATCATATCTGAACAAGGCACGTAGCACATCGTTGTCACTCAATAATAATGACGGACTATAGCCTTAATCGTTCACTTCTAAGCTGATCTTCCCTCTATCCCCGTACTTCCGTCCCGTTTCCCTCTCCAGCTCACCCTCGGCTGCCGGAGTGA